AGAAGGACATGCTCCCATCAAGAGAGAGGGGAGTAAATTGTTTACAAAGGGAAAGCCACACACTTCAAAGGGAGGGATGTACTAATGGAGCTTTGAAGGAAGGTGGGGGGCTGGGTTTTAATTGTATCACCACTCTCAATAGGGTCTCTGGCTTGGGGAAGGATTGACAGTTTGGCTGAACTAGTTCACCAGTAAACTGCATTCAGCTTAAGGGCATCCTTAGAAGGGTCGATTCTTTACCTCTCTCCCCAACCCTATCCCCGCCCCAGCCATCCATTTCCAGGTACACCAAGATAGCATTTAAGCTAGTAATAATATTGATTCTTGGGGCAAAAGGAAAGGGAGTTCTTTGGATTGCATTCTAAGTACATTCCTTATGGGCTCCTACTTTGGGAATCAGGTTCCTTCCCAAGCTTGAAAGGCAAAGATCCACCTGGACACACCTTCTGTGTAGGGGCCCTGATTCTGCAGGTATGTATCTGTCTCTCTGTCTCTCCCCTCCCTATGAGGGTCTGGAAGGAATAGCTGGGATTATAGAATGTAAGCTCATCTCTGGGCCCATACTGTGCAAACACTTTTTGAAGCATATTTATGGCAGTGTCAGACACTGAATATTTTATGAAGATCCTGCTGGTGATATAGTCTCCTCTCCCTCTGGTCCAAAGCCTTCTTTCCTGCAACTGATCAATGGGAAAACAGTGGAACAGACCCAAGAAGGGACCTGCATTAGGAGACAAAGAGTCTATTTCTCAAACTGGAGAAGCTTCCCTGCTCTCCCATATGTGAGGACCAGCACATCTGCTGAATGAGGGCCAGTGGGGAGCATGCCCTCCATCCATCCTGGCAAACAAAAATGGTGCTTTTCAGGGAGACTGGCCCACAAAAAGTGTCACCATGTTGACTTAGAGTCAAAGATGTTTAGAATTGAAGACCCTACTGAGATTAGTCTAGTCCAACCTCAACATTATGGATGAGAAAATACTCTTGCTACTTCACCCTATGGCTATCCCCAGCCCAAGGCCAAGTTCAGCCTCCTTCTTTCTATGAAGTCTCTTGGTCTCTAGAGAAGCAGAGACCTTTTCTCCCTGGGCTTTGGAGGGTCACCCTTGGCTTCAGTTACCATAGCTGACATTTCTATAGAACTTCAAGGTTTGCAGAGAACTTTACCTACATTACGTCATTTGATATTTAAAACAATCCTTTGAGGTACATACTCTTCTTATCCCCATTGCACGGATGAGGATATTGAGTCTGGGAGAGAGCTTGTCCAGTTAGTGTCTGAAGCAGGATTTTGATTTGGGTCTTCCTGACTCTAAGTCCAACACTCCTATCAGCTAGACTTTCTTTGCTGCCACCAGCGCTTTTCATTGTCCCCTGATTATTAGACACAGAAGTTCCCAGAACAAGCCTCACTTCTGCTTGGATAATGCAATACCTTGCTCAGCCCCTTGAGCCAGAGCATATCTCAGGTTGCCATATCTGTCTACAGCAATCTTTGGGGAAGATTTATCCTCCCCCTTCACCTCTTCCCTTCTTTTTTTCCTCCTCTCTCCCCTTCCCTTCCTCCCTTCCTTTTCTTACACACCCTTTCCAACAGGTCTCTATTATTACAAAATGGGCATTTCTAAAGCTTTCTAATCAAAAGCCTTTCCGTATCATCTCCACCTGTACCTTTCTTTTCCAAGAGCGCTGGCAAGGTTTGGGGTCTGGGTTTTAACAATTTCTTCAGAATGGGAGTTACATATCTACTGCTCCAAATATCTCCCCTGACTTCTCACACCTCCCTCAGGGCTAACCTGCTAAGCTTCATTGCCTTTTGGAGGATGAAGTAAGAATGAAAGAAGAGATTGATTTTCATAGACATTACTCCTTACCCTCAACCCTTACTTCTCTCAATAATTTTGCTTGAAGTCATGGGAAACAACTCTGGATGAAAAGGAAAGAATGTTAGCCATAGGGAAGAAGGGACAGAGTGGTACCTCTGAGACCAAACATGGACCCTGGCTGATTTCTTCCACCGTGGTTTTATCCAAACAGAAGATATGAGTACATCTTGAAGTGACTGAAAACCCAGGAAGGATGAAAAGTGAGGGGAGAGAGGGGAGCAGGAACAGAGAGAAAGGAGGGTGAGGGCATGTGGCACTAAGGGATGAGGAAAAGAGAGCAGACGCTAACCACAAGATTGGTGAGGTGCAAAGATGGCATGCTCAGACCAAAGAAAAGCCTTTTAAAAGGAAGACAAAAGTGAAATAACCCCTCCCCCCAATTTTGCTAAAGCTTTGTAGAGAGAGCCAGCAGCTAAAAAAAGAAAGAAACTAAAAAAGGATATATGAAAAAAAATCAAAAGACAAAGGACCCAATTATCAACCGGTCAGAGCACAGTTCACAGGAAATGTGGCCTGCATAGCTGCTGCCCAGGGATGCCCACTCTGAGTCCAACCAAAAAGATTCAGGAGATTCAAGATAAAGGGCCTCCAGAGACCATCCCACAATTGGGGCTGGGGGAGGGAGGGTCTCCTTCTTTGGTTGATTTTATTCATTTTGTCAATTTTGTAAAATCTCAGATTTCCCAAGAGGAAAAAAGAAAAATCGGAAGAACCCAGCTCTTTCCATCGGAGACTGCAGGAGCCTATTTTCCATTTCTTGCCTGTTCCCGGGGCCTTCTTGCTCTGGGCTCTCTTTCCCCTCCCAACCCCTTCATTCTGAAAATTTCCTTTGCTGGAGAAGGGAACCCTTAGAGCTGTCCCAGGTACTAAGAAAGACAGAGCTGGAATCTGGTCTCTGGATACTTGATAAACCAGGCTGACTTTTCCCTAGAGCCTCCCAGAAAGCTATCTCCTCCCTAAATTTCTCCAACTTTGACTGGCTTTGAAGGCTCCTGGACATTATACCCTCAGAAGAATCTTCCTATGGAGCAAAGCTAGAAAGTCCAGACTAATTTTTATCCATTTCAAGAGCTTTCTTTATCAAGGCTGCCATCTTTCACAAACTGATGAGCTCTGTGATTGTGACACTGGTTTTCCAGGTCACTTGAAAGCTGGTTATTATTCAGGATTCACTGAATGACACAGTGCAATCCCATTGTATTGACCCTCTCTGCTCGATAGCTCCCAGGCCGAGCTCAAGTCAAGCCAGTGGGAGTTTCCCAATCCAGCCTAGTGATTGGGTGAAGAACCATCTTGCCTGGTGGACCTTCAGAAGTCTTTTCTCCATGACCTGGACCACAGGAAGCATGGGTTCAGCTTCCAATGGCTGTTATGTTAGAATTCTTGGAGAAAGCACTCTACTCCCCGAAGCCTAGGGCCCATATGGGGCCTCTGAAGATGCCTGTTTTCTTCCTCTGACATAGTGAAGTTCTTTTTATTTCTTGCCTAATAAAAATGCCCACATGTTGTCATGTTTCTTTTGGATCGGCCTTCCCTTCTGGCACATCAACCACAGGCCTAGAACTGAAAACGACCTAAACTTTTATCTAGTCCAACTATCAGATTTTACGGGGGGAGAGAATTGAGACTTAGAGAAATAAAGTGATTGGTCCCAGGTCACACAGGGAACGAGTGGGAAAGTGAGGATTTGAACCTGGATCCTTTGACTCGAAATCCACCGCTAGCTTGGCTCTCCTCTCCTTGTACTGCACGTGTTCTCCATGGCACGAATCACATCCCATCTTTCATCTGACTCGTCATGAACAAAGTCCTGTCAGGCTGGATGGCAGTTCACTTGCCATCACCAGTGATACCTGATGTGTCTAGAGCACTATAGTCTCTACAAAACCCTCTCATCCAAGTGACCCGTCTAAACCTCACAGCATCTCCGTAATAAGTATGGCAAGTATTACCATCCCCACTTGACGGATGAAGAAGTTGAGGCCTAGGGACCTTCGGTGATTTGCCTAAGGTCACAGAACTGGTTTGTAGCAGATTGAACCCAAGTCTCTTGCACTGGTGTTCTTTCCACCATCCAGGAAACATGACCCCTGATACATACATACATAAATACATACATACATATATATATATATATATATATATATATATATGTATCTACAGACACACACGTGTGCATGCACATACAGATATATGTATGTATGTGCATAAATACATACTTTTTTTCCCTTGGCATTTTTCTGATGTCTCTATTACTCTTCTCACAGAGGGTCCCTTCTACGGTCATGGCCCTGGTATCACAGGCTCACACCCACTAGCACTTTGATTATTCGTGACACAGGAACAGATTAATTATTTATTTCTAATTTCAGAGCCTGCATCCCCTGGGGCTGAGGAGAGCTTTCAGAAGTAAAATGAAAGCAGCATCAACCGAGAACTTGAAAGCTGAATTTTATGTCATCAATCTCATTATTAACAGAGAGGAAAATGGGAATATTGGCTAGAGGCCTGGATTTGGGGCTGGGTTTGAGCCCTGCCTTTGACACATGCTAGCTGTGTGACCATGGACAAGTCACTCATTCTCAGAGTGCCCCAAACGATTCTCTAAGACATATCCATGAGCTAAGTTACAGAAGTCGTCTATGTGTATTGGCAGAGGGAGTGTCCACACTGGGAGTTCCCCATGCCAACAAAACCACACACAGAAAGCAAAAAAGATGACTAGCTCCTAAAACCAAGGTCACTAAGAGCTGACCACAGCTCCTATTTCTTGGTGCCTCTCACCAGTGTCCTTCCTTTGCCAAGCTCTGCAATGGATTCTGCCAGACTGTGCTGAGTGGCAGCTGCCCAGCCCAATTGGTCACTTCCCCATGATTCCTAAAGATTCCATATCAGTTGCCATGTCAATGGCTCTGCTGCCTTCATGTTGGAAATTTTTCTACTCTGAAGAGATGTCCCATGCCCTTGGGCTCTCAGGGCATCTGAATGGTAGGATCAAAGCCTTAACCATCTGTGGAATTGGTGCCCTCACAGGTCCAATCGTGCTCAGACCGCAGTTCCCTCATGCGAAAGAGCTAGTTCCCTCCCAGCATGCTCTCCTGAAACCTCACCAACCTTCCTACTAAACTGAACAGGGGGGAGCGGTCGTAAAATGGATCCCGGCCACCATCACACAGCGAGCACTCTGGAAAGATGTCTTCCTCGAAGTCCTCCTCCTCCTCCTCCTCCTCCTCATCCTCATCCTCCTCCTCCTCCTCCTCCTCCTCCTCCTTCCCCCACATGCTGCTCGTCAGCAGGCTCGGTGATGTCGGAGTCGGGGTTCGAGAAGGTGGGGGAGGGGGTGAGATCAGCCATGCGCTCGCTCATGCATGTGTTGAAAAGAGGAGAGCTGTTGCAGCCAGAGACATCTGAGCTGAGGTTAGTACAAGATAGAAGAAAGGTTAACACTAGCTATTCCAAATTGAGCAGGTTAGAGAAGGAAAATACAATGGTGGATTTTTTTCTAAAAAACAAAACAAAAACAAAATAACCCCAAACCAAGGACAACAATCACAACAACCCCACCCTCTCTCCGAAATGCTGATGGTGGAGATGGGGAGAACAAAACCAAACCGGCCCACCCTGTGCCTCATACAGAAGCTGCAAGAGCTGTCAGCTAGAAGGACCTTTAAAACAAAGCAGTTCAATGTGGGGTCTCCCAGGGCAGGCAGGGACCAGGGAAGGGTTGGTCAAGACAGAAACACATTCGTTAGAACCTCAGCATGGAGTAGCAATTCCAGGCAGACCCTCCTGTTCCCCGGCCAGAAACCTCCTGGCCTCTACCTTGGGGGCTAGAGGTCAAAAGAGAAGGGGCAGATGGATAAGACCTTTAAGGTGACAGCCCCATGCCCTTCCAACCAGAATGCAGAAGGCACAGGTGTGCATGTGATTCATACAGCACAGAGATGGATGCTGGCAGCTCAGTGAGAACACGCAAAAACACACACACATCCAAGGATGCAAAACCCATCTGTGAGTCATGGATGCCTACAAGGAATCTTCGTCCCTCCCGCCATCCCTTGGCCAATGAAGGAGTTGCTATGGGCTCTGATAAAGTGTGGCCAAGAGTACCGCTTTCACAGCTGGCAGTGCTGGTGGTTGGGGTACTTTGGGGCTCCGGGGAAGGGGCTGTGGCATTCAGCTCCCCTCAGGCTGTGTCATTCTCCATCATTAGCTGACCTAAAAACCCATTCTCTGCTCACCCCCATACTGGTCAGGTAACAGAACCCTAGGCCTCATTCTTAGGTCAATCCAGTAACTGGCACCTTCCCACTGGATGGTTTCTCTATTTGTAGTTCCATGAGAACTCTTTCTCTCTCTCTTTCTCTCTGACAGGGGAAGAAAAGAATGCTCTCACCTGCCAACCAGCCGGAACCAAGGGAATCGGTCATAGAAAGGGTCCCCACCAGTGACCACATTGTCACAGTCCTCAATGACACTGGAGGGCACCTCGGCAGCCCGGTCATACATCTCGCGCATCAGATCAAGTCTCTGCCTGTAGTGAGAGGAGACAAGTGGCCTGAGCTGGTGCTGGGGGCAGAAAGTACAGGGGCCTGAATGACTCTCCCTGTGGTAGGATATGGATTCAGTAGGTAAATCTTGAGAGGAGACTGAGGGGGAGAGATAATGCTGTTGATGGGGGGGAGCAGAAAAGAGATCTTGTGCCATTGAGCAATGGGGCAGAAACTCTTCCTGCCTTCATGCCCAGATGTTGGCAGTGTGGGGCAAAGCCCCAGTCATCCCACACCCATTGTTATTCAGTGTGAGGTCACCCAACTCTCCTTCAAGGCTGGTGTGGCAGGGCCCCCAAATAAACTCCCCTAATTAATACCTTGGGAGAATCAATCTAAGATAAGAGCATAGACTTAGGGCTAGTAGGGAACTCAGAGGCAGATGGGGAAACTGAGGCCCCTGGTGGTTAAGTGGCTTACTCAGGGTTACATAGCATCACAGGAAGTGTTTGAACTCATGTTCTCTGACTTCAGAGACCATTCTTTAGCCGGGGGGCCTATACCAGACTGAATTCTCATCCCCCTATCGCTTTGGATTTTCCCTTTGGACAAACTATATGCAAAAATGTCTGGAAGGCTGGCCAATAGGAATGACTCTGGCACTTTGGGTCTCGCAGCCCTGAACTTGGCTCAGCTCATGTGATCCCTCCTCCAGTGTGAAGCCTTTCCAGCTTCCCCAGATCTTGGCGCTTTCTCCCCACCAAAATGTGTATTTGCTTATCTTGGCCTAGGTGGTGATCATAATAGAATAAAAGCTTCTTGGAAGCAAGGATTATTTAATTTTATCCCTAAAGTCTGGTACACAGTAGGTACTTAATTATCTGATTAAGTGAATGGCCTCACTGTGCTCATTCTCACCACCAAGAATCTGAAGGAACATGAGCTGCTAGTTTTCCCCCAGTCAACCAACTGCCTTCACTGAAATCAGATGCCTGCTATAAGGAAGACTTTATTGTTACTGTTCAGTTGTTTTCAGTCATATCTGACTCTTCATGACCCCATTTGAGGTTTTCTTGGTCAAGATGCTGAAGTGGTTTGCCATTTCCTTTTCCAGTTCATTTTACAGATGAGGAAACTGAGGCAAACAGGGTTAAGCAACTTGCCCGGGGTCACACAGCTAGTAAATATCTGAGTCTTCCTGACTAGAGGCCTGGAGCTCTGACCACTGTACCACCCAGATGCCCTAGACTTCATTATCCATCTGTAAATCACCCGGGGGGCAGCAGGGCTGTGTTAGGGTGGGGGGGGGTGGATTTTTGCTCCTGTGCTAGCTTCTTTACAACATGCTTTGCTCCCTGCCTACCTGCCCTGGATCACTAGACAGTCCATGTTCAGACAATGGAAATTAACATTATGATATTCAAAGGAAAATTAACTAAGAGTGGCAATCTGTGACCCAACAGTTGTCAGATATCCCCCATTGAAAATATGACTTTCTACTATGACTTGCTGTGTAAAATCTACACAACTTCCCCATTCATTTGACTGAAGTCTGATACCTCAATATGCCTATTGAAAAGGCAAGGAAACAGGGGACAGCTAGGTGGCACAGTGGATAGAGCACTAGCCTGGAGCCAGGAGGACTTGAGTTCAAATACAGCCTCAGACACATAACACTTACTAGCTGTGTGACCCTGGGCAAGTCACTTAACCCCATTGCCTAGTCCCCCCCCAAAAAAAAAGTAAGGAAACAGGCATTCAGAGACAGATTCAGATTTTTTTTGGGGGGGGAGCAGGGTAAGAAGTTCAAACTTGTAACTTGATTGGGGCAGGGAACTCCCAATGTGCAAACTCCCTCCAACAACATAGATTGCCATTTGGGTTGCAAGTTATCTTACAGAATTGCTTTCAGCCTTGAGAAATGGTCACTTTGCCAGAGTCAAACAGCTTCTATGGGTCAGTGGCAGGGCTTGAACCCAGATTTCCCTGACCCCAAGGCTGGCTTTCTCTCCACTGCCCCATGTTGCCTCTTACAGAGATGTCTACAATGTCATGTGGTTTTTGGTAGAAGCATGGCAGGAAACCATGGTGTTTGGATGCAGCACCATTGCCCTTCCTAACCTTCTTTTCTCTAGCTCAGCTCTGCGTAAAGTAGTTCACGTAAGAGAATGAACATGAAGCAATTGGACTATCATCTTCAAGTCTACAAAGAATTCTCATAAGTAGGATGCCAAGTACTCATTGCCAATGACCATGGAAGACCAAACCACAGAATAGCAGAGCAGTAAAAACCATAGGCACACACTGGAAAGGCAATTAGGACCAGAAAATGCTGAGAGGGAAAACCAAGAGAGGCAACCCAATGTCTATGCCTGGAGTTTTTCCAAGGAGAGAACAGACAACCACTAACTGATAATGTCTCATCTCATACTAGCTGTAGAATCTTGGCACCAGGTGTTAAGTGCCACAGACCACTGCATTTTGGAGGTGGTGGTGGGTCTCACTGGAATTAGAGAAGGATAGAGTGATATAGGCTGGGGAAGAACTTTGCCACTGAGCGGTAAGCTCTGTTATATTGCTGAAAGGGATGCAAGTGAAGTCAGTGTCCTCTAAATTCAGCCCCTGTACATTCCGAGGCCTGAGACAATGCCCCATCAGCCTTTCCTTGCTACAGATCTGATTCTCACCCATGTGTTCTACCTTGAGTAGAGACAGCATTGGAATCTTGCTAAGAAGCTCCTCTGTGGGCTTAGCTTCTGGAAACCAAAGGGTAGCTCACCCAGAAGTGGATTTTAATGTAATTCTAATGACTGACTTCTTATTGGGTGAGGTGTGCCCTCTGGGTCCCACGTGTCCATAATTCACCTTCTTCCATGCAAGGAATCTGACACCCCAAACAAACCTTGGCTGGGCTTTGAGGTCCTTGGAGGTTATGCCCACCAAGAAGCACCAGGCATATAGCCTGTCAGCACTCTGCTATCCCTGGGGGCAGTGAGATACAATGAAAAGAGCACTGGCTATAGGATCTGGGTTCAAATTCCATCTCAGATGGCTACCATGTATGTGATTCTGAGCAAGCTACTTCCCTCCTCTGGGCCTCAGTTTCCTCACCTGTAAAATGATGGGGTTGGACTAGATGGCTTTTGAGATCCCTTCCAGGTTCAATCAGGGATCCTGAGTCACTCTCCTTTTTGGGGACTCAGTTTCCTCACCTGTAAAATGATGGGGTTGAACCGGGTTGCCTCTGAGCCCCAAGGTAAAAATCTGTATATTTCCCCAACTTGTTCAAACCAGACAAAGGCATTTCCTAAACCTTTCTCTTCTCTTCGATTCTCCAGCCTGCCTTCGGGTCCTAGATTGCCAAAGCTTCCTCTGCAGTGGCCATTCTTTCTCCTCCAGGCTACCCCTTCCAAGATCATCATCCTTCCCTGTCACCTGACCCTCACCTGAGTTTCTCCAGTGTCCAATAATGGGTAGCACCATTCTTCTGGTCCTGGACCTCAATAGCCACAATCGTTCGTGGGAAGGGCCGTTTTTCTCTTTCTTTGGCAGCATCAGGGGGAAGCAGATCCGGAGGTAGGGGAGAGTAGAGAGTGTCCGTGAGGAGAACAAATTGGAATTGGACCTGGTGACAAACACAGGGAGAAAATGTCCAAGCATCTCCAAGCTGCCAGGATCCCCAGCTGAGGACCTCACTTACCTTCCCCTTTCCCCCACTCCCCCACAGTATGGCAGCCATGTGCTGGGATACAAGGTCTTGGGACCTTCACCAGGAGCTTTCCAGGAAACTGAAAGTAGATGGTCACCAGACAGGCTAGTTTAATTGGAGGTTTTTGAACCAATGATCTCCTAGAGCAAATTTCATCAGCCTGCCTGGTATTAAGGCCTTACTTGAGAAAGGGGTAGATTTCTATCCCAGTCACTTCATTCAAGTGAGAGGCCACTTTTTGGGTGCTATGTACCCTCCATCCCCACATAAAAGATCTACTTCATTTCTAGGGACAACACTGATAAAACAATGAATACCACCACCTCCAGGTCATGGAATGAAGGGCACTCTAAATGCAAAGATCTTTTTAGTTGGTATGATGTAAAGCCAGTGATCCTTGGGTCTTGATAGTAACCTGAGCAATATTTAGGGGCTATTATAGAGATGCTATCAGGATCACTGAACTCTCTCTTGCAGACTCAATATTGGAAGTCAACCCAGTGAAGGCAGAATGAAGAAGGACCAGAAGGCTAAGTAGGATGGCAAATGGGATGTGGGGAAGGGGCATAAAGGTGAAGAGGACACTTCAACTTTGTCTGAGCACAGTCACTTTAGGGAGGTGGCCTCCCCAGTGACTCCTCAGATGTCAGTACTGTGGGTCCAAGCCCTCATGTTAATTCTAGCTCAACTTTAACAAAAACAAACCATCTTACCTTTTTCTTTAGCTCCACACTAATGGCATTGGCTTCTTTGAGGAAAATGGCATTGCCCCACAAGAGGTCTCTCAGTGATGTAAACTGGTACCACTTCCATTTCCTGAAGGCCCAAAGTGCCAGTTCGAATTCCCTCTCTGTCCACTGGACTGTTGAGAGAAAAAAGAAAAAAAAACTCCTGTGGTCATTCCAGGGAAGGGCAGCCATCCTTCAGCACTACTCCCTGGAGCCTAGTGCCTTCTGGAAAGTCAGGGATGTAACTTCTCTGACAAGGAAATGCAGGGAATGATTTCCAGGTCAATACAAGGGCAGGGAGGAGGCCACAAGGGAGCCAGAGACCTCCCGTCACCTTCATGTTCAAGGGTCTTGGCCATAACAGGAAGTAATTAATGACTGCTTGTTGAAGTAGAGACTAAGAAAAGATGGCGGAGACATCAAAGACAAGAAATGGTTTTTAAAAATCCTACAGGATAATACTCATCGAGTTAAATAAATGGAGAACAAGGAGCAAGAGGTGACTATTATAAAAGCAAAGTCATGCTATGTCTTGTCTTCCATGGCAGAAACACCAGGATCAGGCCTCATGCCAGGGAGTGAGGTGCTCGTGAAAAGAACCCCTCCGAGGTGAAGCGACTGCCTAGGCCGTTCGTTGCACCATTTGGTCACTGAGTGCCTTCGACCTTTTTCCCTCTGTGATAAACAGATTGGCCCCAGGGTCCCTTCCCCCTCTGGGCAGCAGCTTCCTTAGCTGTACAATGAGAGGGTGACACTGGATGACACCTAAAGAACCTTCTGAGTCCTTTGATCCTCTCCTTCCACGGGCTCACCATGGCATGGGCCAAGCATCATGGTACAGTGGAAAGGATGCTGGATTTGGAATCACAGGAACTTGGTATAAATACCAGCCCTATCATCCACTCCCTGAGTGAACCAGTGTAAATGATTCCCTCTCTGGTGCTGGCTTCCTCCTTCATAAAATGGTCTTTAAGGTCCCTTCTAACTCTGACTCTGCCATCCGATGTCCCTGCCTTAGAGGGACTGTTTGGCCTCTATTTCCCCCTTCATTGGCAGCGGGTGTTGTGTGAGTGCAGTGCAGTACAGAGGACAGGAGCTGCCGTCAAAGCCAGGAAGATCTAGGTTCAAATCCTGTCTTGAACACCTACTAGCTGTATGACCTCGGGCAAGCAACTCAGCCTCTTGGGGCTCAAGGCCAGCGGTGTCCAACTCAAATAGAAATGGATCCCTGAACACAGCATATCGACCTTGAAAACCACAAATTAACACTATCTATGTTGTATTGTAGTGTTATTTATTTTGTTAAATCTTTCCCAATTACAGTTTGTAACATTCTGTTTCTGACTGCATTGTAGAGTGTTTGACACCTCTGCTCCAGGAAATTCTTTGTGACTGCAATTTATGAAGAAGGGGCTGGCCAGAATGGGCAGAAGGAATTTCTTCACTCAAGAGTCCTTTATAGCAGTCTGTCTCCCTGTCTCATCACTCCTGGTCCATTAGTGGATCCTAATGACCAACCACTTTTTTTTTCTACTCAGACTCTTAGAGCTGGCAAGAACCCCAGAGTTTTCTGCTCCAACCCCTAGCTGAACAAATATTCCTTCCTCAGTATCCCCAACAAGGAGTCAGTCAGGCCCTGCATGAAGTCCTTCAGGCAGTAGGAGCCTGCCATCTCCTGAGACAGCCTGTGTCACTTGCAGATAACTTTTGTCACTAAAACATTTGTCTTTACATTAAACCCAAATTTGCTTCTTTGTACCTCCCACCCTTCATCACTCCTAGATGAACTTAGGAATCAGGAAACATGGGCTCCTCTTTTCAATTTCCTTGGGCATTCTTCACTTGGAACTGCTCTAGAATAGGGAAAAGACAGAAGATAGTGTCCCTTACCTTCATCTTCAGGCTCTTCCTCCTCTTCATTGACCTCTGGGTAATACCTGGAATCCATCTGCTTTTGCAAAGCCTCAAGCTTACTCTCATAGTCCTTAAGGAGAAGAAAGATCAAGTGACCTGCCTGGTCTTCACCATCCCATAACCCCATGTCCCCAACCCAGATCATTGCAGGCAAACTACCACAGGTTTCTGGTTAATGTCTCTTACTAAGTAGGGTCTGAGAAGTCAGAGTGCTTTATTGAAACTAATCTGAGCTAGTTCTTAGCTCAGAGGCACAAAGGTTACTTCAGGACAAAACCCAACCAAGAAGCTTGCTGGTGCCCTCTGAGTGTCAGGGGGAAGGGCAATGACTCCTGTACCAGTCTCTGCTGCTCGAGGAGGTAGTTGGCTTCTTCTCTCTCCTTCCGATATTGGTCCTCAGTTCCTGGAGTCTATGAACCAGAAGGGAGGAAGGACAAAGTGACAAACTGAAACAGGTAGAGATGAGATTCTTTGATGATGATGCTGACATTGATGAAGATGATGATGTGATATGGTGGAGAGAGTGGTGCTCTTGGAGTCAGGATGACTTGAATTTCAAATCTCAATGCTAGTATTCACTAGATGTGATCCTGGGCAAATCATTAAGCTCCCTAATCCTCGGATAACTTTCTAAGAACTGGCTAAGTCATACGCAGGTTATGACTCACATTGATGAAGGGAATTCTCACAATAGGATGTCTCCACATTCATTAAACCAGAAATCCTTGATGTGTTTGCATAATAATAATAATTGGGTTATCGGGGCTTGGACTTGTGATCTCATAGGCATAGAGAATTCCTAGTCAACAAATTTACTCTCCCATACAGATCAGCCCCTTTTCTGCAACGTCCAGAGAGTTGCCTGGGGCTCTTAGAAGTTTGATTTGCACAGGGTCACATAGTCAGGATATGTCACAGGCAGGACTTGAATCCAGGTCTTCCTGACTTTGAGTCTGTCCCTTAAACCACTAATTAATTGAATTTTAATACCAATAATAGCTCCAGGAAACCCACGCATACCCATCCCATCCCATCTCATCCCAATGCTTCTCACCTCTGTTCCATCTCCTGTTTCATATCAATGCCTTGTTTTTCGAGTAGCTCACGTTGGGCAAAGGCCCAGTCTACTGGCTCTGCGGGTGTCTCTGCGCACGGGGTCCGTTCGCGCTCTTGCCGAGCCTGCTCAGGATGGTTGAATCGGAATACGTGACTCTTCCCCATGATAATGCGGTTTCCTGTCACAAAATAAGGGGCAGGATTGGGAGGTCACCCACAGTGGAGGGGGATCAAGGAGAATCAGAGCAACCTGTCGAGGAATGAGGAAAGGGGCTGAGCACCCAAGGCAGCATGGCCAGCCCTTCTCTCTAGATCGGAAGGTAGCCACGTCTGCTGCTCTGAGTGTAGCCAGCATCGTATGTAACTGTTGTAATACAGAAACATGGACCTCCTGAGAGGATTTACTGGCAGGGCTGAAATGAGGCCAAGTTTCCTGAAATGTGCTCTCATCTTTTAAGACAAATGCTATTGAGGGAATGGAGGAGTAGAGACCCTGGGACACAACCTGGTTATTGGGGCCTGGGGCAGAGAAAGGAGTTTGCCTGGGTGTGACAGGCCATCAGAGGAGCCGTACAAACTGAAAACTTCCTTCTTCCTTTATCCTTCCTAACTAGGCACTAAGTTCAGGTGTTCCTCAGTAAAGTCAATAACATTTATGATGCACCTACTCTGCGCCATGATGAGTAACATGAAGAGTCTCCATTTTCACTGGGCTGTGTTCTATTTGTTCCCCCTTAACACATACAACACAAGGAGAGTGGAAGTCCCAGTGACTGACTTCCCCACCATTTTATTAAAAATCACCAAATGTGCGAGGGTGCATTGAGATGATACTAAGAAGGCTCGTTAAGGAGCCGGCGTTCACTCCATCGGCTGGTGGTCTTGTTCCCATTACATCAGGCATACAGTCTGAGGGATTCAGTTTTCACTTTGTTGGCTGAGTTTGGAACTGACCTGGATGATGGGTTTGACATTGGCCTTGTGTTCAGAGTGCCTAAAGGCATAGCATTCATGCCTACATCTTTCCAAGGCATTAAAACAAAGGAGGATTGATTATGTTGTATGGAGGATTTCTGATCAGTGGCTAAGAAGCAATGTTTTACAGTGGCCACACTACTGGACTGGGCATCAGATGGTCATCATTCTGCCTCCAAGTCACTGACTCTTCTTGGAAAAACCTCTCATGTCAGTGTCTTCCTTTATAAAATAGATAGGATCGATGTCATCCCCCACCCCAACCCCCCAACAGATCATTAGAATTGTTTCCTTCAAAGGCTTCAATCGAGGTCCTGTTTTCAATCTGCTGGTTAGGGCTGGTTCCCTCATCCTTCCTCATGGAGCTTTCCCCAACTGGCTCTTGGAACTAGGCTGTCTTCTCACCTACACCTTAACCTGACTTTTCCTGACCAGCTCTTCTAGGAGGAAACTGACTAACCTTATCAGAGGTATTATAGAGGGACTATATGAAGAGCCCAGGAGTTTGGACTACATGACCTTCAAGGATCCAATCAATCCTTACTTTCTGCTAGATTAAACAGGATAATGGAGGCTTCTTCATCAAACCTGAGCATCGTAAGTTATCAGATTTCAAAGGAACCTCAGAAAGCATTTAGTCCAACTGATACCTGAACAAAAATTCCCTCTACCACACACTCAACAAGTGGTCACCCAGCCTTAGTCTGAAGGACCTCAATGAAGGAGAGCCCTCTCCAAGCAGTCCATTAGGAAGAGTTTTCTGTCATCGAGCCTACGTAAGCTTTGTGGTCACTTTTCCCTGGGGTCAAACAGACCAAGCCTAATCCTTCCTGTGCATGCCAGCCCTTCAAATACTTGAGGATGGCTATCATGCCCCTTCCCACGCCAATCCCCTCACCTGAAGGCTTCTCTTCTCCAAACTAAAGAGAGTATTATGCCTGGGTTTTGTGAAGAACAGCTTTCCATATTCAAGATAGGGCAGGCATGGCTAACTAGCATTTTGCTTGAAAAAAAGATCTGTGGGTTTTAATAGACTGCAAGTTCAACATGAGTTATTAGGATGATATGGAAGTCAAGAAAGCAAATGCAATCCTAGGCTGTAATAAAAGAGACACCAGGTCCATGTCTAAGAAGGTGATAGTCTCACTGTACTCAGCCCTGATCAAACCACACGGGGAGCACTGTGGTCTTTAGGAGTGTCACTTTTTAGCAAAGACATTGATAAGCTAGAGATTGCTGAGAGGATGATAGCCAGGGCAGTGAAGGGACTCCAGGTCATGCCTCATGATGACTGGCTTAAAGGAAGTGGGGACCTCTAGCCTGGAGGAAAGGAGACTGAGGGGAGCAGTAACCATCTCAAGATACTCGAAGGGCCATCATGGAGAAAAGGGTGGCCTTACACGGGCTAGAACCAAGTGCAATGGGTAGAAGTCACAGAGAGGCTGGATCAGAGGTCAGCATAACTTTCTTAGCCATTAGAGGACATCCGAGAGAAGAAGTGAACTGCCTCAAGAGGTGTCTTCAGATGATCCCTTGTGGGGCATGTTGAGGGGACTCTTGTTCAGAGATGAGTCAGGCTAGATTCCATTCTTTAATATTCTGTGATTCTGTATCTTTATATTTATCCCAATTAGATTGCATCTTGTAGAGTTTGGCCCAAAACTCAAGCTTGTCTAGATCTTTGGGATTCTGTCTCTGGCAGCCAGTGTATTTGCTCTCTCCCTCCCAATATGTTGTCATCTGCAAATTTGCCAAGCAAGCTATCTATGCCTTTTATCCAAGTCATTGATAAAAATGTTTACTATGTTATAGAAACACTTGTTTATTCCACAAATTAAAAATAAAATTAATAAATAAGTTTTCAAAGTAAAAAACAAATCTTAAGACCACTCAGGGTCAGACTCAGAGCCATGGGGCACTCCACTGGAGACTTCTTGCTAAGCTGACAGTGAGCCTTTAATGGCTACTCTTTGATCCAACCTTTGACCAATTCCACATTAACATCCCCTTACCATTGTCTAGCTCATATCTCTCTACGAGGAGGCCATGAGAGACTTGGTTAAGTGCTTTAGGAAACAAAATATAAAAAAATTATCTTTCCCATTTTGAGGGAAAGTGGCCTCAGTTCCCAGTACTGCTATTGCATTGAGGATGTCATTTATAGATCTGTAATCTTCTCTGGGAAGGGAGTTCCATGAGGGCAGGGACCACTGTCTTATGGATTCATCTATCAATTTCTCACAGAACCTAGTACATGACCTTGCCCATAGCAGCCATTTGATAACTGATTGTTGAATGAATGAATTTCCAGACAATGAAAATGTAGTTATTGGTGGTCCAGGTCTCATTCCTCCATGACGAGTGGGGCCTCTTCCCCAGAGAGATAGAACTTACCAGATCGTAGAATGCTTGGTTCTGTCACTTTTTTGCCATTGACATAGGTGTCTGCCCCCTCACATGGTTCCAAGGTCACCACTGCTACAGGAAAGAAACAAGGAAAGAAGCAGAAAGAGGAGAAAGACAGAGAAGAAAAACAAACAATGTAAGTATGGGGGCTGGGGCTCCCCTCAGTGGTCCCAGAGAGGATGCTCATTGGCACATGCTCCTCTCAGAGACAGTAAGCCTGAGGGTGAGGGCACTGAATGTGGGGGCACTCTAAAGATTGTTGAATCAAATTGAGTTCAATTGAAATGTCATCTAAGTTTTCCCAAAAGGGGTGAGAGGGTAGGTTTTCAAATTCCACAGGGATCAATCACTTTGCAATGGCATCTCTGGAAAGGGCATGGCTCTCCAAGTCTTTGTTCTTTTCTCCTAAAGTGGGAAGTAGGTAACTGGAGGGGGGGTTGTTCTCATCACAAGGATAGCAGTGGTAGACTTGGAGTCAGAGGATCTGAGTTTAAATACTGGCTGTCCCACTTCCTCCCTATGTGACCTTGGGCAAGTCTCATCATTTCTGTTCAATTGTGAACTGAGGGGGTTGGAATTTGTAGCCTCCAAGGCTGATTCTAGCTCTAAATTGTGTGATCTTGGGTTGGGGACACAGGACTTCCCTGCGGTACCGGCCTATTTATGTCCCTCAGGTGCATCCAAAGTCATCGGTTACGTGGAAGGAGGCAGAGTGGTGACATGGCAAAGAGCCCAAGGCTTGGTGCCAAGGGACCTGGGCTTGAATCTTGGCTCTGCTGCCAAGGGTAGTGACTTTGGGTAGGTCACTTCCCTTCTCTAGGACTCAGTTTTCTCATTTGTAAAATTCAGGAGTTGGGTTAGAGGGCCTGTGAGATCCCTCCTAGCTCTTGGAAAGCACTTTCTGCCCTTTGAATCCTTTGATCCTTACAACAATCGGGGGGGGGATAAGTATGGAAGGTATTATCACTTGCTTTTTATAGAGGAGGAAACTGAGGCCCAGAAAGCATAAATGACTAGCCCAAGACCACACAGATAATCAGTGACAGAGCAGGATTTGAACCCAGATCCTATGACTATTTTTACTGAATAGTCAACCAGGGTTCTGATAAGGACTAGTTGACATGACCCAGGGTGTGTGTGTGTGTGTGTGTGTGTGTGTATGTGTGTGTGCGCGCGCGTGTGTGTGTGTGTGTGTGCGTGCGCTCCCTTCCTTTGATATTGACACTGGCCGTGATCTTTGAGAAGTTAGAACTGACTCTGCTTTAGGAATCTGAGGATGTGATGTCAAATATGGGAGTCACCATGACAGGATTTATTCTGTGCAATTACGGAGGCTGGGGCACTGTGACACTCGTCCTGTAAGCATCGCCATAAAAATAAAAATTTCCCAGGGATCTATCTTGGGGATTCTTGTCTCCCACACTCACCATGATCTGCACTTATTCACCTAGTGCTCACTGAGTCTCCTGTTGCCCTTCTCCGAGCTCCTAGCCCTCAGGCAGAATTTGGGACGCGGGAACATAGATTTGGGGCTGGAAAGAAGTTCAGCACTTTCATTTTACCGATAAGGAAACAGAGGCACAGACGATGAAGTGATTTGCCCAGCTGGCATGTGAGGGGAGATTTAAACCAGCTCTTTCTGATTCTAAGTCCATGCCACTAGGTGGCTGCCAATCTTAGGTATGAGTGATGAAGGCAGGCACCCAACAGCTCATTCCTGCTCTTCTGCTGTGGATCCTGAGATCTATCCTCTTAGAATCACTGGGTTGGGCTCAAAGATCAGAGAGCACTGGATGTAGGGAAGGCATTACTGGCTGTTGAACCCTCTCCTTCCACAGATGAGGAAATGGAGGCCAGGAAGGGGCTAGCAGGGATGGGGTACCTGCAGCCTCGAGTCCACATCTGGCCCTCTAGGTCCTCAAGTGTGGCCCTTTGACTGAATTCAAACATCACAGAACAAATCCCCTTTAAAACTTGGACTCAGTCCAAAGGCCACACCTGAGGACCTAGAAAGTCACATGCAGCCTCAAGGCCATTAGCTCCCCACCCCTGGAGAGCCTTGGATGGCCAGACAGAAGTTAGTGACAGAGCAGACCTCCAAATTCCCAATTCTGTGCTCTTTTTTTTAAAACTATCTCTTGCTGCCTCTTATTTCCAGAATGCCACCACAAAATGGAACTAATGTCTGAGTAGTCTACACACTCATAGTACTGATAACGCCCAGTGCTTTATAGCACTTTGCCAAGTGTTTTCTATCCATTATCTTTTTTGAGCCTCATCCCCAATCCAGCAAGGTGGAGACTGGAGGCATTGTCCTGTCCCCACTTTATGGATGAGGAAACAGAGACTTCAAGATGTTTTTGTGACTTTCCTTTGTGACTTTTGTGACTTCTTGTGATGTCACACATCTAGATAGGATTGGGATGGGATGAGATTCGAACCCAGGTCTTTCTGATGCCATACTCATCACTCACATATTTTGTATAGTCTTTCTAAGGCATGAAGTCACTTACACTCCTGCAAGCCCTAATAAGATGAACCTAAAGAGAAGAGCCTGAGTGAAAAGCCTGTAGGGACAGGCAAGGCTTGGCAGGGAAAGAAGAATGGACCATGAGGAGCAGGATAATGTCCAAGGATAATAGATCTGGGCAAGCTGACCATGGAGCCCACGTCATAAGCATGGCAGGCATTGCACATGGGGAGGGGAGCCCAAAATGTAACAGAAAGGTGTGGGGAAAGGGGGGGGCGGAGACTGACTTTCTCTGTAATTTTGCCAGTCCCTGCTCTGACTGGCGGGGAGCCTGTCAGCTGCTCACCTTGGGAATACCAATCATTTTCTTTCCAAAAAAATTCACACTTTTTTGCTCCTTAAAGTATTCAGATTTGTTTGGTCATAGAAAGGGGTGAACTTACAATGTTAAGAGTCAGAAGAGGTGGATGTAAATGGTCACACCTAATGGGGCCATGAAGAAGGTATGGGCATTGGAAATCATGGTCATTTTCATGGCTGGGCACACCCATTCCTCTCAGGCCAAAAGCCGTGGTAACCTTGCTATCTGCTGGTATTTACCATGAGATGATTAATCCATGACACCCAATGAACTGATCTAAAGAAATTAGGGGTAGGGGAACAAATATATCCTGGATTTGCAGGACTCACAAGAGTTAGACCTAGATGGAGAAGTCCTCTGAGAGAATCTCAGAGCTCATCAATCCAACCCACAGATTTTTCAAGGAAGGAGACTGAGGCCCAGAGAGATAGCAAGAACCCAGGATCACACAGCAAATCAGTGGTGGCTCTGGGATTTATAGAATCATGGGACTTGGGGCTGAAGGGGACTTTAGAGGTCATCTAGTCCAACTCCTTAATTTTACAGTTGGGGAAATTAAGTCAGCGAGTGTAGATGCCTTGCCCAAAATTATTTGGCAGGTTAGTGGCAGAGGTAGCAGTTATAGGCCTTTTAGGATTTAGGATTTGTAGGCAGAGAAGTAGATCTTAGATATCAAGAAATCTTACCCCTTTCTTTTAGAACTGAGAAAGGAATTTATAATTTTCATATTAATCAATATGGTACATGTAATGAACATACTAATAATTTAATTTTCTTAAGAGCTGCCTCTCTGGCTCAGGAAGCAGAGCTCACAATGCAGCTTAAACTGATTAATCAAAAACTCTGACAATGATCGCAATCCCTGGACCTTAAGTGAAGCAAATCAAAGATTGTAGAAAGCTGTTCCCATCTCACAGAACTCTGGTTCTGTGCTGGAGGGGAGGTGGCCACAACTCCCAAAAACTTGACTTCAGAACTGTTGTATTGCGGGACTTAGGGGATTTTCATGAGAAACCACTAAATGATTGTTCCCCTCTCTTCCCCCATTGTGATTTAAGTATACAACCTGTGCTTTGACTTCAGCTAAGAGAACATTCCTCACTCTGAAACCAATTAATTAAACTGCTTGATTCCTGGCGCTCCCATCTCTAGGCCTGCTTTGTGCGGCTCTGAGCATTCTCAGGTTAGAGACTGGCTCAGTAAAAATCCTGCTAACAGACCTAAGGAAACTGAGGCCCAGAGGGGGAGAGTGATCCAAATCATATGAGACTACCATTCTTTGCTGGCCTTTGGAAAGTCCCAGACATTGGATTCAGTTGTTCCCATTGTACACTTCCATCAAGATATGTGTTGGCAAGAAACTCATGCAAAGGAGTGATAAGAGTCCGACTTGTTTGAGGGAAATGAGAGGGAAATTCCCAGGCCCATATTTGACCTGCCCCTAAAGTCACGTTGCATTTTTATATCTTTCTTGATAGAAAGGAGACTAGTGGCAGCTCTCTCTCCCTTAGGATCTCAGGATCCTGGACTGAGAGCTGGCATTCAAAGTCCTTCATGGGCTGGTTCCAGGTCTCCTTTCCAGGCTCATTGCATAATATTCTTCCTCACGCGGTCATGTTCTCACCAAACTTATTCTGAATGTTCTTTCCTTCATTCAAATGTGAGATCCTTGAGGGCGGTGGCCATTTTTGCCTTTCTTTGTATCCCCAGTGCTTTGCACATGCCTGACACACTGTAAACATTTACTAAATTCTTGTTGACTTACTGACTTGCCTAATCAATATTTCCAAAATTTGTCACTTCATCTCCTGCCTTTGGGCATTTGCCCAGGCTGGCTGCCCTGCCTACAGTGTCTCCCTCACTTCTACCTCTTAGAAGCTGTAGTTTCATTCAAGGTTCCTGACAAAATTTTACTGAATCCCCATAGCTGTCAGAGTCTTTTCTCTTCTCAAATTGTCACATATATACTTTTTTGTGTATAAGCTGTGCTCCCCCTTCCAGTAAAATGGAGGCCCCTTGAGGGCAGGAGCTCTTTCATTTTTGTCTTTGTGTCTATTGCACCTCACACAGTTCTTGCTAAATTCATGCCTGTTGAATAAGATTGGACTGAATTCATGGACATAGACTCCAACATGGCCTTCAGTCAAACAGAAAGAGAGCTTGGAAATGTGAAGGTCATTGGAAAGGCAAGTGAAATCTGGTGAGAGGGAATGCAAAGCTACAACAGCATTAGGACCAGGGGATACCTTCATTGCCAGTCCTGGTGTCACTCCGGAAAATGCAGTGCTCTTCTTTTATGAAGTGCCCACTCAGGACAATGTCTTGTCTCCTCTCTCCATCCTCCCGGCCAACTCTAAATACAGAGGCACAGGTTGTTAGCATTCTCTGGCTATGACCCATTGCACTTTACAGAGTGCCACTGCTGTCCAAAGTTATTCCACCCTCAAACCGGAGAGAGGCTTAGAAATTCAAAGAGAAGGTAACCTGCTCATTGCAACATGATCCTAAGAATTAGAATGAGAAGGGAGTTTAAAATGTTCAGTGATGTTTGGACAGTCCTTTGGAAGGAATGAAGCCCAGAGAAATGGAAAGAATGTGAGGGGATGTCTTTGTATCACTGAGAAGAGGTACCACATTCCTCCATTAAGTATACCAACAAAGCAGATTAGGAGTATGTAGACCGTGTGGGCTTACATTTGTTATTCATGGGGAAACAGAGAGGGACCAGGCCACAGAAGCAGCTTCTCCTTCAGAGAAGCTTCAGAGAAAACTTCTGGGAAATCCTGCTTAGCTTTAGCTGTTCCATGGCTCAGTTGGCCAGAAAATGGCGTTCTCCAGTTGGTTTCCTGTCCTGCAGGCTGCTTTGAAGCCCTGATCGTGGTCCTGATCCTGTACTTCATGCTTGAGCTGAGTCACAAAGGGAACCCAGTGCTGGAGGTACCACTCCAAATTCTTGACTATCTCAAGCTGATGATGAGGCTTCATACTATCAACTTTGAATGTAAAGCAAGCTTCCTAAAACATCAATGCGATTAACAATCCCTTTTCTCAATGCTTTCCTGACAGTGCTCATATCCCCTTATATGTTTTGATCACCCTGAAGGTGGGATCTGCTTTGCTTTGTCTTTGTGTTTCTAGTTCCTGGCATAAGGCCAGCACTTAATAAATGCTTATTGAATTGAATAAGTGACATTGCATTTGACCTGCGTGAGAGGGCCACAGGCAAGGAGGAGCCTTAAGAGTCATCTAGTAAAGTCTCCCCATTCCTCCACAAAGGACCCCCCTTCATCATCAAAAGACGGGTTCTAGGAAAACTGCTATTCTAATGGCAGAACTCCTGGGATTTGACTGAAGAAGATAAGTGCAATGGCGGAAGATGATAGAAATGTGCCCCTCCCCACCCCATAGGCTCTCAACTCTTGGCATGGACAAACAGAATATTACCCTTAACTAAGGAAAAGTCAGCTGCCATCATGGCTCAGCTATTTACATAGGTGACAGAAGGCTTTACTAGTGGTGCTATCTCACCTGGTTATTCCATCTTTAATGTAGTACAAAAGGCACTCAGACATCAGAGGGTCTTCATTCAGGTTGACAAGATGAGGTGTCTAGAAAGAAGAAAGATGAATACTCTTTTCTTCAATGAACTTGTGAATTGACCATTCATCTGAGTACTCTCTCCCCCTACAGCTGCCCAATGATCCATCTAGTTACAGCCCTCAGTAAAGGGAGTGCTCATTTCTTCCCTAAAGTAGTCATAGAGAGAAACAAAAGATACACAGAAAACCATGACAGCAAAGGGCTTACAAAGGAGCTAGAATATTACAATACAAAGAACGATTTCTTCCAAGTTTTCAGCACAGCACTACTGAAAGCCTGTTAGTCTAATCAGTCACAAGTTATCCATTGTTTAGGCCTGAGTTTAGCACCACATGTATGGAGAGAAACCTAAGAGCCCAGACTCCCTTGCATGCAGAGTATTTCTCAGAAATGTCTCTGCTGGACACATAACTACCCAGGGCATTCTCTGGGTGAGCTCAGCTTCTAGAAACCCAGTTGGAATTCTTCAAGTTCCTTCAGTCTTTTGTTCTTGAGCCCCAGCAGTCAGCTCAGACTACCAGGCTTCTGGGGAGGGAAAATTGCAAAGGGCAGAGAAGTCTTGGCTGCCTGAAAACAAGGTTTGATGGGCGATGGAGAGGGAAGGATATAACTAAGAGGGAAGGGGGTAATTCTGTGCTATGGGAGAGTGTTGTGTGTGGGAAGGATCGCCAACAGATGACTGAGTCCAAACAGCTGTGCAGTTGTACAGATGACCAAGAGGTCTCACATCTACAACATGGGTCCAGCCATTCTGTGACTCTCACTTTCCTGCTGACAGAGGTGCTGATGTTAACCAATAGGCAGTGAAGGGAATGAGCCTTTCTCTGAACTCACACTCTGACACGGTACAGGTGTCCTTGAAAGAGTACTCTACCTTCCATCCTACAAAGTGAGGTCCTATAGCTCTAATGGGGAGCACCCCATATGGTTGCTAAGTGTCTATGTTGGCTTAGAGACTGGCTTTCTGTCTGCTTGTCCTGCTGGAATATGTTATCAATGTATAAACGAGGCTTTCCATCCTTACTCCTCTCTCCTTAGTTCCTGTCTCCTCATTTCTCTCTGCAATGAGTAGACAGCTATCTGCACCTTGACAGGTCTAGTATCAGGCTCCTGTATGTTCTACAAGAATTGCAGACTTAGGGATTTGCGGATTTTCAGAATTGCCAGGGACCTTACTGGCCCAACTCACCCCCTCCCAAAGACTTGCCTTTACAATGTACTTGACAAATGGCCATCTGGCTTCTGCTTGAAATCTCCAAGGAAGGGAGCCCGGCAACTCTCAAGGCAAGCCATCCCACTTTGGGTGGATTCGTTATTGGGAAGTTCTGCTTGACATCAAGACGAGTCTGGCCTCTTTTTTGACTTCCACTTGTTGCTCCTGGCCCTGTCCCCCGGGCCAAGATGAGTCTAGTCCCTTTTCACATGACAGGCCTTCAGAATTCTAGAAGGCAGTTCAACTATGATGCCCTGCCCAAGTCTTCTTTTTTCCAGGCTAAACATCCCCAGGTACCCCAGGACCTTCACAATCCTTATTGTTCTTCTCTAGATTTTGTCTGGCTTATTAATGTTCTTCCTAGACTGTGGTGCCCAGAAACTGCACACAATACTCTAGATATAGTTTGGCCAGGGTAGAGAGCAGTAAGATTACCATCTCAGTTCTGGAAGCCCCAAATTGCTTTAGCTCAGCCCAAGGCAGATTGTCTTCCTATCCAATGGAATGTATAGCATTCCTCTATTCTACAGCTTCCTTCTGGGAGCCTGGGTCTTTCTGTCTCTCCAAGGCTGCTCCTCTCCCACCCCTTCACCTTTTATCTTTTACTGCTGAAACAACACCTACATTGCCCCAGATCCCCGGCCAGAATCTCAAATTGAAGCCTTCAGAGTTTGGAAGTTTTTCAAAACAGCTACAGTGAAAATCCCTGGCAAATCTTCTACAGACCCCAGGAAAACCTGAAAGGGGGCTGAAAGATATTCCAGTCAACCCAGCAGACCCCACTTTTGTGAAGCATTGGAGAGGTTCTGTATGCACACCATCCCAATCGGTGTGCCATGTACTCCAGATACAAATCTAACTTCCATCATGAGAAAGCCAGATGGAAGAAACTGAGAGCTCAGGGAGAAACTCCATCCCTTCTCAGTGGTAGCTGTTGGACATACTGAAAGTGCCAGCACACTTCAGGAGACCAAGGTTTAGCCAAGCACTCTGAGGAGTGCATTTCTAAACATTTGCTCTTGGGGTAGAAAATGATCTAAATGTCCTCCCAAGAAGCAGGGATCATCAAATTAGATTTAGAGTTGGAAGAAATGTTAGAGATCCAGGACCCCCTCATTGGCCAGTTGACAAGCATAATGATTTGCTGAAGGTCACACAGCTCGTGAAGTGGAAAGAGGGCTGCCTCTGCCCCAGTGTTCCTTTTGAGTACCTAGGTAGTCAGGGATTTTCTAGGGAAATAATTCTCCTGGGGATTCCACTTGAATTTGGGGAACTATTCTCTATCAAACTTATAGCCAGGCACCAAAGATACAAAGACAAAATGTCTATCATGTCTCAGAGGGTCAATGAGAGGGCAAGGATCTTTGAGGAAGGTATAAATGACCACATCAGTTTGTCTACAGGAGAGCCTAGGAGGACAGGAGCACCTCTGAATGATCTCTTCTCCACTTCACGTTCACCACATGTGCTGTCACCAATTAGTTTAGCCTGAGCCACCACCAGAAGCCGGAGGACTTCCAAACACCTGAGCTTCTCAGCAGGATTTCAGCCATCACTGCAGCTTGACACCACACCAACCTGCCTTGGGGAATACACCCCAACACTCTCTAGGAATAAATCCCAGGGGCTAAACAGCAGTGGCTAAAATGATGAAAGGGACAGATTGACATAATGCAAAAGGTCTGACAAAGGCCAACGGAAAAGGTCAAAAGGATCAATTCAATTAGTTCTTTCAAAAATGAATTTATGGGGAAAGGGATCTAGTTATACAAATCAGTTGCACCTGACTCCCCTTGATAATGATGGTGATGACATTAGCTAGCATTTATGTAACACTTTAAGCACTTTATGTTAACTCATTTGATCCTCACAACAACTCTGGGAAGCAGGTACTCTTATTATCCCATCTTTCTGTTGAGGAAACTGAGGTAGACAGGTTAAGTGACTTGTCCAGGTTCACACAGGTAGTGTGAACCTGAATGTGAATCTGAAGCTGGATTTGAACTCAGGTCTCCCTGACTCCAAGTCTAACACTCCACCCACTGTACCATTTAGCTGCCCTTTATACACCAAATTTCCCCTTATGGGCAGCTATGTTCTTGAACTGGCCTCACTGGACAGAAGGAGCTGCTGAAAGATTTTGAGAAGAGGTGCAATGTGGCCAGATCACTGTACAGGAAAGCCTAGTATGGCAGTGGTTTGAATATTCCAAGGACAAGTAACAACCTCACTAAAGGCATGGAGATCACTGGACTAAGAATAGTAGATAGAAAATTCATGTCACTTCTTCAAGCTTCAGTTTCCTCATCTGTAAAATGGCAATTATCCTACTTGCTGTGTCCTCCTACCTCCCAGGGCTGTGGTGAGGCTGGTGTTCAGTGAACCTGAAAGGACTATAGAAATGCAGCCCCCTCTTGTGATAGTCTTAACCTTGGAGTTGCTGGGCAACACTTGCTGGGTGTCAGGACTGAGATTTGAAAAAACAGAACAAACACAGTCACATTTTCCTCTTTTGAAACAGATTTGCCATGAGGACATGCCATGGTAGAATCGAGTTGAACTCATCTGCCTGGTGCCAAATTCTACCAAAGCCTCCTTGATCTTTAAGCCAATGCATCACCAGGAGGGAGAGAGAGAGAGAGAGCGAGAGAGAGAGCGAGAGAGAGAGAGAGAGAGAGGTCTTGAAAGCTGCTCCTACCTTTTTGGGAGAGAACACACCCAGGGTGCCACCATCTTCCCTCATGGCCACACCCATTTCAGCCAGCAAAGCCTCCCTGAAAAAAGACAGAAGCTGAAGTCAAAGATCAGCATGGGTCATGGCTTGGCATTCAGACCAAAGAGAGGTTGGGCAGGTACAGAAACTCTAGAAGGAGCCGTGAGACCCAAGGGATCAGACTCCAGAGTGATACGACCCAAAGACCAGGGAGGGGGTAAAAAGAAGGGGTCAAAGGAATGCAAACTTTAGGATGGAAGTGAAACTGGGTGAGCCTCCTGAGCCTGAGACAGGAGCGGAAGGCCACAAGCATGACTCTTCCTATTAAAAAGTGAATGTAAAAGACATTTTCCTCAGTATTCAAATCTCATCTTTTCATGATGAGATTTCTAAGACTCTTAGAGTCTTAGAAATCATCATTTCTCCCTGATCCCTATCAGTGGCTACTAGTATTTTATCTCTAGATTTTCCTGCCTCAGTCACCAGCCTTCCTGTCCATGAATCACAGAATTCTAGAGGTGAAAAGACCTCAGTGGTCATTTAGTCTAACTCATACCTGAAAAAGGATCCCTCCACAACCCACCAACCTAGGCTTGAAGACCCCCAAAGAGGCAGCCTCCCCTGCAAGGCAGCCTGTTCCACTTGGGGCAGCTCTCACTGTTGGGAAGGTTTTCTTTTCATGAACCACACATTCATCTCTATGCAGCCTCCATCCAGTGATCCTGACTTTGCCCCTTTGGAGCAAGCTGAACACGTCTATTTGCTCCAGGTTGGACATCCAGATATTTGAGCAATGCTATCGTGTTCCCCCGAAGTGCTCTCTTCTCCAGGTAAAATAACCCGTGTTTCTTCAACTGATTCTTATGTGGCATGAATTCAGTGCTAGTTAACATCTAGGTTGTCCTTCCTCTGGATTCTCTCCAGCCTATCAATTTTCTCCCTCAAATATGGTGCCCAGAACTTAACCCAATCCTTCAGATGCAATCTGATGAGGGCGGGGTCAGAGACGGAGAGATGCAGGGGCCTCAGAGGCCATCCAGGACAGAGGCTCTTAATCTTTTTTATGTCATGGACCCCACTTTGGCAGTATGGTGAAGCCAAAGGTCCCTTCTCAAGACATGATTTTAAATGCAAAAATCAAATACATAGGATTGCAAAGGAAAGCAATTTTGTTGAACTATAGCTTGTTAGCATATTAAAAACAATCACAACAACAATAGGTTAGGGAACTCCAGATTAAGAACCCCTGATCTCATTCAACCTCCTCATTTTTCAGTTGAGGAAACAAAGGCTCCCAGAGATTAGGTGACTTTATTTTATTTTATTTTGTATTTTTTAGGCAATTGGGGTTAAGTGACTTGCCCAGGGTCACACAGCCAGTAAGTGTCAAGTGTTTGGTCTGAGGCCAGATTTGAACTCAGGTCCTCCTGACTTCAGGACCAGTGCTCTATCCACTGTGCCACCTACCTGCCCCACTAGGTGACTTTAACAAGCATCAAAGTCCTGATTGGAACCCAGGGCTTCAGACTACAAGGTGAGCATTCTATTCTTTGTACTGTACTGCCACCAGTCAAGCATGAGAGTTCCTTCCAGGAGGGACCATCACCCCCTTTGTAGCTGATCTATGATGATCTGTACATAAATCATTGACTACAGGAGGGGACCTCTATTTTAAGGTGTTCCCCCTCTCTCCTGGCAAAGAACCCTTTGGCAATGGGAATGATTGTCCACAAATCTACCCACACCAATAAGAGTTCTCATTTCCTATTCTGAGTTTTCTTTAAGGAAGTCTATATTTAAATAAATACGCTATCCATTAGCAGGCATGTTATCTTTTCTTTCTAATTCCCTTCTGTCAGATTCATCCTGTGTTTTGTATTTCTGAAGTCAGGGATTATGAGGTGGAGAGGACCCCAAACCCCTGGCTGGTAGATGCTAGCAAACTTAGTCAATTTGGTTGAAAATGTAAAAAAAAGTCCAAGCAACTTTGATTGACTGGTTAATTGAGCTGACTGGATGAACACATTGAGAATGATTGAAATTGGAGCCTCATTTAGTCCAGTAAATTTGTTTTTGCTATTGGCAGAAGGCACTGGGTCCTGGGTGTAGGGATATGAGAAGAACGTTCATAGTGGAAAGGGGAAGTTACATGTTTGAAGCTAGACTAAAGCTAGGTCAAACACTTCTGGGTTTCAGGAAACAAGAGCTATCTGGGCTCTGGTCCCATATTTGCCTCAGACTTGCTTTTCGATCTTGAACTTTTATGAGGTACCTGTATCTGTAAAAAGAAGAGGCCCCCCAGAGGCAGTGGAGCGGACTGGGGAATGTGCTGGACTTGTCCATGGTCCCAAAGCTAGGAAATTTCAGAGGTTCTAGGCTGAGAGTCAAGACCCAGATTGGAATCCTGCCTTTGCAGTTCAGTAGCTGGGTTCATGGGACATGTACGTCTACATCCCCTCCATCCTTCCAGCCCAGCCCAGTCAGCTCTTTGCTGCCCTCCCCTTTGGAAAATCATTGGAATCCCTATCTGAGACGAACATTTGGGAAAGTGCCTGAGGATGCTCTCATCTGTACCTCCCCTGACAATGAATCCCCAGGGAGCCGGTTTTCACTTTTTCAATAAGGGTTAATGGCTACCCTGCTGTGCAGCCCATGTTCCCAGCTTCAGTGCCCCAAGGCCCCAGACTGGGTGCTTGCGATTCCCAGGATGCTCACCTCTCCATCCGGATGGCTTCTGTCCTGCGCAACTTCTCCTCCCAGGTCTCATTCAGTTCAGCGATGATCTTTTCAGTCTCCTGCAGGGACGCAGTGTGTGGGAAGATTGAGTGAGAAAAAATGGTCTTGTTTGTTTTTTCCTTTTTAGGCAATTGGGGTTAAGTGACTTGCCCAGGGTCACACAGCTAGTAAGTGTCAAGTGTTTGGTCTGAGGCCAGATTTGAACTCAGGTCCTCCTGACTTCAGGGCCGATGCTCTATCCACTGCGCCACCTAGCTGCCCCTAAAATGGTCTTTTCTTACAGAATGAAATACCATTGACTTTTGGAAAAAATTAGCTTTAGGAAGAAGGGTGGGGAGAGGAGACCTTGGTCTTATGCTGGCTCAAGATAGCTTCAAGTTTCTTGAAATCATGAAGATTAGGAATTGTTTTCATACCCTCAGGGACCACCAAAAGTCAGTCAGTAGACCCAAGAGACCATCCTTGAGTTCTGTCTCTACTTTCTATTAGGTCACATGGGAACTGGTTTTGGTGGGTGACACTATCTGGTTTGCGCAGGGTTAACACTGGTCCCAGTGTCAGGGAGACACTGTCAAGTGTCGATGGAGCTGAGACACATATTGCAAGCCAGCTGATTTGCCTGAGCTTCTCTGGGTAGCAGCATCATCATGCCTCATTATTCTCTCTTGTTGTACAGCCAGAGCCTAGACGTCATATAGTGCATAAAGTGGTAGACCTGGAGGTGGGAAGAGCTGCTTTCAATCCTTTCTCTGGGGATATTTGTTATCGTATGACCCTGGGCAACTCCCTAAATGTCTCTGAGCCTCAGTTTCTTCTTCTGTAAAATGGAGCTACTCCTGGGAGCAGGATTGGTGTGAGGTTAAGATAAGCCAAGGCATCTGCAACTGTCTTGGCCAACTTTCTGGTTCTCTCTCCTCTAGATATGCAGAGATGCCAGTGATTATGATCGTCCTCCACTTGGTCAGTGCTGGCCCCTCCCATTAGACAGAAGCCCTTGGAAGACCAAGCTGTCCGCTTTTGTTTTGTCTCAGCACAGTGTCTGCAGATGGGGGGGCTTGATAAATGCATGATGATTAACTTATGGATTTCTTTTGTTGCTATTCAGTTGTGTCCAACTCTTTGTGACCCCATTTGGGGTTTTCTTGGCAAAGGTACTGGAGTGGTTTGCCATTTCCTCCTCCAGCTCATTTTAGAGATGAGGAAACTGAGGCAAACAAGGTTAAGTGACTTGCCCAGGGTCACACAGCTAGTAAGTGTCTGAGGTCCTCTTGTCTCTGTGGCTGGCACTCCAGCCACTGCACCACTGCACCTGATGGATTTCATGCTGTCCCCAAAATAATAGTAGTTGTCATTTACATAGAATTTCAAGGTTTTCAAAGTGCCTTACCTGCATTAAATTACTTAATACTCATGACAGTCCTGTGTGGTAGGTGGTACTACTGGCAACTCCATTTTACAGACAAGGAAGCTAAGGATCAGTGTCTTGGCTAAGGTCACACAGGCAATGTCTAAGGCAGGATTAGAACCCAGATCATCTTGACTGCAAGTCCAATACTCTATCATTATCACCCTTCTATCCAGTTAGCTGCCTCAGAGGTTTTTCTCTTCACTCACCTTCAACCTCTCAATGGCTTCTTCACTGCCTGGAGCAAACAGCATCCGCTCGTGGAGGCTGGACACAGAGGCCGCTCGGCTGGATAAGGCTGACAGGGAAGATGAGGGGCTCATACCCACCAAGGCGTTGGTCACTGTGGAGAGATTGTCAGGGCGTTGACTCAATTCTGCCACGCCAGGGTTACCATTATTGTTCTCAAAGTCGGACATGTCTATGGTGAGGAAGGGAAGAAGGAGGGGAACAGACAGACAGAAGGAAGAGGAAAAAAAGCAGAAAAAAAGAAAAAAAACCATAGTTGGGAAAAAGCAACAAGGTGAAGCAAAGAGAATGCTAAAAACCAAAACAAAGAAGCAGGCACACGGCGACCCCTGCCATGTCTAGTCTGGCCTCTCTTCTCAGCTCTGCAGCCTTCTCCATCCACCTCTGGCCTCGAGCAAGCCACCCACCACCTTCTCACCGAAGCTCTGGTGCCCGATGGTCACTGCTTCCTCAATGACCACACCTGCTTGCCAGCTGCTCAATGAAAGCCTTCATCCACATAGCCCCAGCTGTGTCTCTGTACCCCGGGTTGCAGGGGAGGGGAGGTCAGTGGCTCAGACAGACTCCAGCTCATGAGCTCACACTGTGGCCAAGTCAGCTAGCGTCCGTTATTGCATGGCAAGGGGCAGCCTCTCTCACAATTGGCACATAAAGGGTATTCCTTCATACCTGTGCTAGAGGCCTTGGCATGGCCTGGTGGCCTTGTCCAAGCCCGCCTTTTGGCTCTCAATACCTCTTTTTGACACTCAGAACCCTTCCTTCTTTCCTCTGCTATCCTCTCTCAGCTTCCCCCATCATCTCCCAGCTGCCTCCCAGCTCCTCACCACACTCCCTAGTCAGCATCTGCCTCTACCTCACTATCCAAAGTGATTTCAGTTTTCAGTTGATGCCCTGCCTGTTTCTGCAATTTCCTCCCTTATTCTTGGAGGAGTTCAGACTTATCCCTCAGTCACTTCTATTGGTGAGATGGGCCTTTAGCCTACGGGGGAAGTATCTTAGAATTCCAAGGTCTCTAGACCTTTCTTTGCGGCCACATTCCATGGCCATCTCTGTCTCACTGGGATTCTAAAGAAAGGCCCAATGACCCTCTTGGGGAGTGCTCTGGAAGAGTTGGGGAGGGGGGGCCTTCTCTTTTTCTTGTTCTAGTTCAGCACCTTCTTTAACTGACAACACTTGGCACATGACCACCCCCTCCTCTACCAGGCCATTGTGATCCACCATGGAGGAGTCCACTTCACCAGGCACTTGGGGGCAGAGCTAAGAATCTGGTTCAGAGGAGCACAGAAATTCAGTCTTTGTGAGCTAATGAGACTTCAGGCTGTTTCAGACACAGAGGAGACAGAGAACTGTGCTCGCTCTAGGATTTCTTCTTTTGGTTGTCACCTGGGTCACGCAAAGGATGCATGTCAACTGCTGGGCATGTAGCCCTCATGTTTTCCTGGGACTGGGGATCAAAGACTGAATTTCTGGGCCCGTCAGATAGAGATTCTAGCTTCACCCCCCAAGCTAAGGTGTGATCCCAGCTGCTCACCTCTGTTGGATACACAAAGGCCCAGGCTGTAGGACCATCTGCCATGCAAGCTCAAGCTCTAAGCAGGGAAGACGATATCTCATGTCTAATGGCACCACCTTCGTTACTTCCCTGGTGCTCCTTTGTCACCAGCCCAGTATCTCCTAAAGGCAGTTCACCATTGCAGGTGTGGGCCCCTCCTAAAACAGCTCTGTGGCCAATAAGCATGACAATAGCTCTCCAACCAGAACTAGCTCCCATGCCAGCCCTAGCAGACACCAACAGGAGCAGCAGCAGCAGCAGCAGCAGCAAACATAGCTATAGCATGGAGGTTGTTTCACCAAAAGTTTTTTTGGGAAAACAGGGTTCCCCTGGGGTGCCTGGGCTCTGGAGTGGGTGCCCAAAACATTTCTTGGATGGGCCTGGAGTCAGAGGCAGTGAGTGGGGACCGGGCTGGACTGGGAGTCTCTGGAGTCCCAGAGCTGTCACTAACTCGCTGTGTGCCTCCTGGGGAAAGTCACAAACTCTCTGGACCTCAGTTCCCCCATAGCGCATAAGGGGGAGGTTGAACTAAATGATCAATGAGTGGTTAAAGAGCTGGCCTTAGAGTCAAGTCCCAATTCTGACATGACCTTGAGCAAGTCCATAGTGGATGCTTCCTCAGTGCTTGGGGATCGTTTGATCGAGGCCTTCCCTGCATGATAGAGACCTCTACACCTTCTGCTTTACTTGCACCTACTTTGGGACCTCCCATCACCTCCATGTCTTGATGATAAGGAGAAGGAAGCCTTTTGTGAAGAGACTCACTTTGAATTTTACTTCGTGTCTCTCACCAGCATCAAAGGACATGCAACTGGAGAAGGTTCTGTCTGGAGGAATTCACCATTTGAGGTGGCCGTTGACAGTCTTTCTCTAGCTTCCAACCTCAAGGGTTATTTCCTTAAACTGAGGCAGTGCCTCCTGCCTCCAATGAAATGCTCATAGGGAAGTCAGGAGTTTATATGAGCTCCTGGAAGGGAGGGGCATCTGAAGGAGTCAGAGGGCCCTAACTACATAGTCCTGAGGGCCAGCTTAGCTGATTGCCACCTCCCCACCCCAACCCTTCACATTTCCTTTAGACACAACTATCATGGCTCAGATATCATTTCCTCTTTGAATCCCCAGGCTCCTCCAAAGCTTAGCTCAAGCTCTACCTTTTTTTTTTTTTTTGTTAGGCAATGGGGTTAAGTGACTTGCCTGGGGTCATACAGCTAGTGAGTGTTATGTGTCTGAGACCAGATTTGAATTCAGGACCTCCAGACTCCAAGGCTGAAGCTCTATCCATTGGGCCACCTAGCTGCCCCTCAAGGGAACATTTCCTGACCTACTCATCTATTAATGCTCTCTCCCTGTGGCAATTACATTGTATTGAGGGATATTTCATAAGTATAGTAAATTTCCAGGTGAGGAGATCCTCTCTATCAATGTAGGTTGACACCTTTTCTGAAATATAGTCTTTGAGAGTTTCCTAGAACCTCTCAAGGTTAAATGACTTGCTTAGGATCACACAGCTAGTACTTGTCAGAATTGGGACTTGAATCCAAGGCCAGCTCTCTAACCATTAGCCAATGTACACAGATACTCTGGATTTACCCAAATAAGTGCATGTTTTATTTATCCTACCAGTCAAATCCTACCCTGCCTTGAGGGCAGGGGCTTTTTTCTGTTTGCTTTTGTGACTCCAGGATCTAGCAACTATATGGCACATGGTAGAGTCTTGGTATATTCTTGCTGATTAATTTATTGATCAATTGGAACGTGAGCCCCTCAAGGGCAGGGTTTGTTTTCTTTTAGTCTCTGAATCCCTAGCAGGAATTTACAGAAGCACTTGGAGGAGTCTAGCACTGTGCCTAGCCCAGAGTGGAGGTTTAATAACCACGTATGGATTGATCAGAACATAAGTTCCTTGAGGGCAGGACCTGCTCAACTGTGGTCTCGGTATCCCCCGTACCAAGTATGGTACTTCAGACTAGTAGAGGCTTAATGCTTGTCATAGACTTGAACTGAATTACCTTCAAGCCTCCAACAGGCAGCCACAGTAGCATCTTGCTTCCAGGCAGACCCTCCTTCCTTCCTGATGAAAATGCCTGCCACTCACAGGCACTCCTCCCCAAGCCTCACCGTCCACTGCCTGACCAGCAGAACCTCTTCTGTTCCCAATCCCAGACTTTACCATTGACCTCAGGGTCACCGGCAGATAGGAACAAGTCTTCCCCACAAATAGTCAGGGACTCCTGCCCTATAGAATCATAGCAGGCACTGGAGACCCTGGGGACAGCTCACTGTCCTGTGAGGTCAGTGATGGCCTTTGAAGAACGGGGGGTCAGCCTCGAGCTGGTCCAGGACCATTGGCTCGAAGAGCTATAAGGGGCCCCACGGGCCAACTGAGAGTTGAGCAGGAACCTTCTCTATACTGCCCCAAACAAGTGGTCTTCCAGTGAGTAGGAAGCCCCTTCTGAGCCAGCCCGTTCCATGTTTGGAAGCTCTAATTGTTAGTGGGTTTTTACTTATATGGAGCCGAGACTAACCACTTGGCAAATTCCACCCATCACTCTAGCTCTGTCCTTTAGGCCAGCATGGAAGATGGTAGTGACATCAGTTGTCCAGCCACTCTCATGCCCTTGCCTTCCTCAGTATTTATTTTAGGAGCACCAGAACCCTCCTCTTCCTACAGCCGTTGAATCCTAGTTCTGGAGCTGGAGGGGGCCTTGGAGCTCATTTAGTCTAGCATCCTCATTTGGCATGAGGGAACTAAGGCCCCAGAGTTGAAGTGACTTGACTAAGCTCACCCAGGTAGTGACTGGCAGAGCAGGTGGCTCTGGACTGCCCCTCTTTCATCCCATGGGCCTGTGATTTGGAGGGAGATGCAAGAAAGTGGCAGGAAGGGGAAAGGATGGCTGAGTAGGAGGACAGGTATCTGTTTCCATGGGGATGCCAGAGCCCAGCCTTGGGCCATGATCGCAGACCTTGGAGAGCCCATCTAGGGGTTCCCATCCCATGCTGTATTTATGTTCCTTGCCAATGACTGATTCTCTCAGAAGCAGTGAAGCACACAGAGATATCAGCAAAGGGAAATACACACATTTAGGTCCTCCTGGCACAGTGTTGGCTAAGAGAGGCAAGGAAAGGGAAAGTGGGCGAGAAAGACAAAGAGAACAAAACAACAACAGGTTTAACTCTCTAGGACTTGGGAGCTGAAGCCAACAGAGTCATCCACCCTTGTCAGGCTAGGGGTGGCAGGATTTGATTTCATGTGGTGCCTGCTCAGGCCAGGTGGCATGCTGGGGCCCCCTCCCAATTCCCATAGCTCCATCAAGTTCTAACTCTGGCTTAGGAAGGGCCTCTCTTATCCATCCTGGTACCTACCCTACACCTGGCTAGTGACAAACCTAGCCCTGGGAGCTGGGGAAATCCCTCACCTTTCTAAATGGACTTCCCCCTTCAGAGGAAGGGGCTCACTTGAGAGACAGGACAATTAATTCCTAGGAATCAGAGTGTAGATTATATTTCATCCCTCGGAACCAGGAGGTACTCTTGCAGGGGTGGAAAGGCCAGACAACTTAACATTGGCCATGGAGCAGTAAAGGGATGAAAGGAGAGAGAGGGAGGAAGAAAGAGAATAAGGGAGGTAGGAAGGGAGGAAGGGATAGAGGAGGAGAGGGAAGAAGAGATTCCCAGAGAAGACCTTGGGACAGGCTGGATTCCTTTGGGAAGACTACTTCCTACATCCCAATTTGCTAGCACTTTTATGTCTGAGGTCCAGTTGCTACAGCCCTTCAACTAAGGGACGTGAAAATGCAGCACGTGCAGTAGGGAGGACCACAGGATACATACTGTCAATGATGTCCCCAAGCCCCTGGGCATACAGAAGGTCTCTCAGGCGAGCCACCTCATCCTTCAGCTCCCGGATGAGCTTGTTGTTGGGGTCCTCATTTATGACGGCATTGCACCGGATCTGTTTGGCCCGGTCAGCATATCTGCAAAGAGGACAGAAGTGCTCGGTGCACCAGACAGTGCCCGTTGCTTCTCAGAAGACGTTCAGCAACCAGACGCCACATAATAAATACACTTTGTAGACTTGAACCATACTGAGGCAGCGATCATCGGATCCTAAATCTAAGTGACCCCAGTCTGTCTGGCCCAATCCCCTCATTTTACAGCTGAGGAAACTGAGGCTCGGGAAAGTTAAATGACTGTCCCAGAATGAGGATGTTGGGAAGGCCAGGAGCAAGAGGCTTTGAGGGATTTTGGACACTTTGGATAGGCAGCTAAAAAACCCATACACCAGAGTGGGAGCTGTTCACGGGGCCCAAGGATCCTGTCTAGGAGTACATTTCAAGGGATCCATGAACTGGGGTGGGGACAAACAATGATGTCTTTATTTGTATTAACCTCTAACCGAAATGTAGCAATTCTTTCAGTTAACAAGGTAGGCAACAAACATGATTCTGAGAAGGGGTCTGGAGACTTCACTGGACAGCCAATGAATAACAATAAGAATAATAAATAAGGTTCAGGATTCCAACACTAGAGGAATTTGACAACTCAGAAAGAGCCTCTGAATTAAACCTCAGAGTTGATGACTGGTACAGAAGTGAGATTAGGGTAGCTTGGCAAAGAGAATAAGAATAAGTTATGAGAGACTTATAGCCTATCCAGAAGCATTGGGCCCGTTCATCAGGAATATGTTCTTGGAGAACAGATCCAGAAGGTGCTGGACCTGGTGAGCCTTGAATGACATCACAAAAGTGAAAGGCTTAGGTTTTAAGAGACAGGAAATGACTCATTTAGTGGTGTGGGAGTCACTTCTGAATCAGCTGCCTCTGGACAGTCAGACAGTCAGACTACCTACTTGTAAGATCAAAGACCAAATTAATTTGGAGTCAGAGTGAAATAATTGGTACTTTGGAGTTCCAAATGGCAGGAATATGGTTGCTTTGGGCCAGGTGCACCCCGATATGGAGACAATCACATGGAATGCCTTCTAATTATCTTCCATTAACTCAAGCCACTTCTAGAGCTACTCATGAAATTATGGTGTGGGCTTTCGAGGTCCTGGTCTGTCTGTCTCGTGTATATGTCTGAATGCACACACACACACACACACACACACACACACACACACACACACACACACACACACAGAGCTAGAGCTGAAAGAGATGTCACAAACCATTTAGTGTAACCCTTTCATTTTACAAATGAGGAAACAGGCACGGGGCAGGGAGCGACTTGCTTAAGGTTGTAGGATCATAAGCATAGAACTGGAAGTGACCTTCAAGGCTATGTAGTATAACAGCCTCATTTTAAAGAGGAGGAAACTGAGGCTTAGAGGAGGTAAGTGATTTGCCTAAAGTTACAGAGGTTGTAAGTGGGAAAATCAGCATTCAAATCAAGGCTGGCTGACTCCAAGTTGCCTACAAATGTCCTTGTGATGAGGACAATTTAGCATCATGTGGCCCATGGTGATCTCTCTGACTTAGGAGCTGCCACCCCTAGTCAAGCCCCTTCCTTCCCAGGCCCATCAATGCTTTCTATCCCATCTGTCCACTCCCACATGGGTCTACGGCTGCAGCCAAGATAATCCATCATGCTTTCACGAGGAGGGTGGGGTAGGATAGAAGATAGAACCAGGAGGAAAAGGCCTGTTGTCATCCCTCTGTCTCATAGCCTTGAGATCACATCTTGAGGTGAAGGAGCTTTGGCAGGAAACATTCATTAGATTTAAATAAGTGATGATGGGGGAATGCTGGAGCGATGTGCTGGGGTAGAGTTGTCTGAGAGGGCCACATGCATCACTCTCCTGCCCTCAAGGAGGGTATGGATGGGAGATATTATCTCTGGCCCCCCAGGTCTTACCTCAGAGTGCTGAGGGTCTCATCATAGTTGATGTCTGCAGGGCTCAGAGCTGCCACCATAGCGGTCCTGGAATTACCCCCTGATAGGAAAAACAAAACACCTCAGGAGCAGCCCCACGAGGAACTGGGCACCAACCATCATTCACTGTTCTTTCCTCCTAGGAAGCTGGAAGCTCCCTTTTGACACCATCAGCCGTGACTCCCTCATTTTTAACAGATGAGATCTTCCTGGACTCAGGAAGACCTGAATTCAAATCTTCCTTCCTTCTTTCAGTTCTTAGCACAGTGCCTGACACAGAATAGGTGCCTAATAAATGCTTGTTGACTTGATGACTTACTAGTACCTAAAAGTCTGCAAACCCAGACCTTAGTTTTGTTCATCTGTAAAATGGGAACAATAATGCCTCTAGCTTGTACCTCACTGTGTCGTTGTCCAGACATAATAGGAGCTGATGTGTCTAGATTGCTTTAAGGTTTGCCAGGCACCACACAGACTCATGTGACCCTCTCTACAGCCCTCTGGAGTGGGGTGGGATGGTTTTATTATCTACATGTTAAAGATGAGGGAACTGAGGCTCAGAATGCTTGTCCAGAGGTGAGATGTGTGCCTTCCTGGCTCAGGCCAGGTATGATTGGGACTTTGACTATAGACTTTGACAGATCTTGAGATGTCCATTTCTTCAGCTTGGAGCAATCGGTCTCTTTCCTCTGACCATTTGTCAAAGACCTCATGATTCTGCAGCCATGATCATGCCTGTAGGCCATTAGGATGAAGGCTTTCATTTTGACTTTTCACCAAATCCCATCACACCTCCAGGGTATTCCCCGTCCCTCTGCCCCTATGCCAGGATCTCTGCCTTACTACCATAGAGCAGGACCCCCAGGTCTCTATTGAGACCTGTATCCTGAAATCCCCCAGTCTTTCCTTGATGTCCTGCCTCTTGCTACCTCTGTGACCTTGGGTAAATTGCTTTCCTTTTCTGGGCCTTATTTTCTTCCTCCATAAAATAAGGGGATTTGACTAGATGCTTCCACTGACCTAGGATTGGTCCTCTGGTTGCTGCCCTCCACCCTCCTCCTCCTCCCCAGCCCCATGGGTGAAGCTCATGTTAAGGCCTGTCTCACTGTGTTTGCCTTTGGCCCCAGAATTGTTCCTTTGGAACCCATTGTGTGCGATCATCCAAGGGTCATTGGTGCAGCTGAGAAGGAAAGCCAGTTCACAGAGCTCCAGACCTATCTCAGAAGCCACTTATCCTCCTTCAAGGCCCCAGTGTGGCCCCCTTTCTATCATTTAACATTGGATCACCTAGCTAGGCCCATCCACGCTCCTAGTCCAACCTCATTCATCTACTCCCAGTCCAACCCCATTCATCAACTCCCAGTCCAACCTTTCATCTACTCCCATTCTAAAGATGAGGAAGCTGAGGCCCAGGGCAGGGAAGCAACCTTCCCAGCGTTATACAACTTTTATGTGCGTGGAGTAGAACCATAGGACCATAGATTTAGAGTGGGCCCAACCTCAGAAGCCATCTAGTTCAATGCTCTCATTCTATAGACGTGAAGACTGAGTGTCAGAGAGCTTGGGGACTTGTTCAATATCCCACGGGTGGTGTCAGAGGTGAGATTTAAGCCAAGTTCTCTGACTCCAAAGCCAGTACTCTTTCCCCCATCTCACACCCACTCCTCAAACTCATGGCATCCCAAGGGGCTAATCCCAGACCTTGGAAAGGCTTAGAAATTGGACCAGCCCTCTCTGACCCAAATGTGCCTGCAGTTTTGCATTCTGCTTGTCTCCCAGGGGGAGTAGCAATTTTCCCAGACAAGAGCCCATCATCCTTTCTGAGGAAGGTGGATGGAGGAAGCAGTAAACCAAGCATTCTCCCCGTCAGGAGGCAGGCCCACTTGGTGCCCCTGGAGGCTGGTTGCCAGGGAACTGCAGGAGGAAGACGATGACAGCTGAATGTGAAGCAGCAGGGTTGAAAGAAGATTCCTTACCCAAGTTTTCCCGGAGGAGCCAGGTCAGCACTGAGTCTCTGTATGGGATGAAATCAGTCTTTTTCTTCTTTTTATTCTGCAGAAGGAAAAGGAAGAATCCAAGGAGGTCAAGCCTGTGAGCCCCTTGGCAGGTAGAAGAAGAGCATGAGAGGCAGATTGTCAGGCCAGCCAAGTGGCTTGTGCCCAAGCCCAGGAACCAACAAGAAGCACAATGGAGGCCAGGCCAGGCATTGCCACTCATCAACTCTGCACACAGACAGGACATTGTTGCTTCTCCTGGCAGCCTCTGCCTGGGGCTGAGATTGGAGGGATACAGTCCCTCAAGGTCATTCTACATCAGAGGCCTTCTGAGGCTCAAGAGTGCCCTTGTAAACCTGGACTGTGAGGAATGGGTATCTCTTTGCTTTGTCTCCTAATCATCAGGCTGCGATGGATGGTCCACAGCCTCAAGTGGTCTTTGGGTTTCACTGTGGAGATTACTACTAAGGACTTTGTGTTGTTCACACCGAGAGACAGTTGAGGGCCCAGGGTGCCCAAAGCCCACTGTTTGACAATGGTGAGCAGTAGACTGCAGAGACAATTAGATGCTGCCTGGGGCCTCATCCAAGGGGACCCAAGAGGTCAACTGGTCCATTCCATTGCCAACTGTGCATCTTTAAGACATCTAGGAAATGAGATTTAAAAAATGTCTTCAGTAATCCATCATCCCTTCATTTTATCCAGGGTCATGATTTTAAATGAGTACCCTAGTTCTTTTTATGTTTTATCTCCATTACCCCATGGGCTGGGAAGGAGATGATTCTAGGTATTACAGGAAAGTAAAACAAGGCACAGGACCATAACCATTCTGGATCACAGTGGTAGATAAGGGCAGAAGTGTGAGATTGGGAAATTCCAGCCCAGTGGCTTTCCTATGAGGTGATCCTGGGTCCCTTTCCTAATCCCAAGCATTATTTTTGTTCTCCAAGACACTCTTCTAAATATCAAAAGGAAGCAGAGAGCCACGAACCTTGTTTGGTCCAGAATCCTGGAAAGAAAACAGAGAAACTAACTTAGAAGTGCTAAGAAAAGCAAATCATGATGAACTGATAGGAGTTAGAGGCCAAAACAATAGACTGGGGAATAAATTGCTGGCATTGCTAGAGTAAACCATCCCTCTGCACCAGCTGCCTTTCCCTCATGCTGATCCTGGCAAGCAAGCCAAAGAGAAATGTGGCTGTCTCAACAGCTGTCTGTCACATATTAGAAAACAGCAGATGGAAGGGGATTGGAAGGGCTTCTGGTGACTCAGATTTCTGATTCTGCTAATAACCCCAAACTGTCCTTGGAAAAGCACAAGTTCCCTGGCCCATGGAGAAGAAGACCATTGGATCCCAAAATAGAAGGTTTCAGGAAGGAAACCTGGCTCTCAGAGGATCTGAGAGGGGTGTCCAGAATGATCAACTCCCCTTTCCCTAGGACTACCTGTCCTAGTACTTATCTCAAAATTACTATATATTGCACAGCTGAACTAGAGAAGAAACTGGCACTGTCCCTGCTTGGGTCCTACCAGATCTTCAGGACACTAACACACCTGATCTTTAGAAAAGACACATGCAGGAAGCTTTAAAATCATCTTTGCCCCTGTCTTAGCCCATAGCAGAACTGGCATGGTGGAGTCTACAGCCAGAGATTCTTCCTGACTAGCCAATGTGTCCTCATGATTACAAAGCAGCCCTCGAGCCCAACTCACCATTTCAGCTAGAGCAGAGATGACTTTTCCCAGTGTGGTCAAGGACTTATTGATGTTTGCTCCTTCCTGTTGGAGGGAACAAAGCCCCAATGTTGGAAAACAAGTCAAAACAGCTTTCCTCTGGAAACTTCTTTTTAGTGTCACTGCTCTGTTCAGGAAGCCTCAGTGGCTCCCTATTCCTTTTAGAATGAAATCCACACTCCTTTATTTGGCCGATAAGACCCTTCATAATCTTTTCAAACCTGCTTTCCCATTATTCTACCTAACGTTCTCTGTATTCCAGCCATATCCATTTACTTGCTGTTCTCCTAATACGACATTCCATCTCCCATCTGCCTGGACTGTGTGCACTCGTGGGCATGTGCACACACACAATGCATGCACACACATATGAGCATTTGTAGCTGACCAGAGCCATGCTCAATACGTTAAAGATGGGAAGATCTAAATCCCCAGAAGAAATTTACTTGATGAGGATCTCCTAGCAAATGGCACTGACTTTGTCGCTAAGGTTTTACTTATTTGGGCATTTCCCATTCCTTAGACCCTGTAGTGATCAGGGTAATTGCCAGGTTTGATTCCATTCTTCAAACCTAGTTCTAGAATCCATCTTGCTAGCACCACCCCAAGGGAACAAGTCAACCCTAGTGGTTGCTAGCCTATCCCAAGGGAACTACTGTAATCCCAGATCATCACTCTATTCCTTTCCTTGTGGTCTTGCCTGGTGGACCTGCCATATTCTCAAAAGGGGAAGGCCCTTGGCCTCCATGAAATTAAACTGAACAAACATGTTAAGCTTTGATTTTGTTCTGTGCACTTAGAATAATATGGAGACAAAAATGAAATGGTGGAACTTCAATGAGTTTACATTCTATGGCAGAAATGCAGTAGGTACACCGATTAGTAAATACAAAGTAAACAATTGAGAGAGGGAGAGGGAAAGAGGAAAGAGGGAGAGAAGGAGGAAAGGAGAGAGAGGAGAGGAGGGAGGGAGAGAGAGAAAAAGCAAGAGAGAGAGAGAGAGAGAGAGAGAGAGAGAGAGAGAGAGAGAGAGAGAGAGAGAGAGAGAGAAGGTAGGGAGACAGAAACAGAGACAGAGACCAAGACAGACAAAGAGACAGAGAAAGGGGGGGGGGCCTCAGCAACAAGAGGAGGGTTGTAGGATGCCCCCAATCTGGGCTTTGAGGGAAGATTCCAAGAGGCAGGAGTGAGAAGACCGTCAGCCTTGCCTCAGCGTCCTGCTGTACAGCATGCTGGTGCCAGGCTCCCAAGGTCACCCCACACATTCTGTCCTCGGAGGTGGCATCAGAGGGAGACTCTCCAAGAGCAGAAGCATGCTAATCTTACCTTGAGGCGTGTGCCCTTGGCTCCTGTGGAGTCAGCTCGCTCACTCCCTGCCAGGTCAACGAGGCTGATCTTGCTCACCTGAAAGCCAAGTCAGACCAGGTGTTAGGGGACACTCCAGAGACTCCCGTGGGTCTAAAGAGGCTGAAGAAGAGCAGGCCAACATCCCCAGCCAGAACACCTGGGACCCCACACTCAGAGCTCCTTGTGATCTCTGAGTGGCCATAGGAGGGCCGAGACTCCTTGAAGCTCACAGAGCTACAAACACATACTACAAAATGGCGGAGGATAATGACCCAACAGAGGGGGAGAGCCCTTTGAGCCGCAGGAGGGGGGCAGCAGAGGAGGCTTCCTTCCCTCAGGAGTGGCGTTTGAAGGAGGCCTCGAATGACGGGTAGAACAATGATGATTGGTGTTTGACATTTGCAAAGTATGCTATTACCCCCTCCCTCTCTCCCTTCCTGTTTCATAGATGAGGGATTAGAAAGGTGGGGTGTCTTGCTGATAACCACACAGCTAAGTGTGAGTGGAGAGATTTGAACTCAGGCCTCTCTTAGCTCCAGGTCCCACTTCCTGTAACTTGGGAGAATATTTGTGACTTTTTTGACCATCCTTCATCAGTGCCTAGATTATGGGCTCTTTTCCCCTTCATGTTTGTCATTTCCTTAAGCCAAAAGGAAGATTCCTTTCATGCCCTGCCAGGATTCCTGACTTTGCCCCAAAAGCAAAGGCCTTGTGAGATGACATATAAATGACATAAATGAATCAGTGGTTGGGCCCATCCCCTCATCACTCCTTCCCCTAGTCTGGGCCTTTGGTGCTCCAGCAAGATTCTGTGGTTCCAAATTTCACCATGGTTTGAACCAAGGCTTTGCTTAGCAGAGAGTGGAGCTTGTTAATTGGTTCCCAGTGGGGGCAATACTCATGGCCTTCATTCCAGGTCACTCCAAGACCAAGGGACAGATCTGACAACCAAAAAGATGTCGCCTCTTCCTGCATGCCCAATGCCAGGCCCCAGACAGCATTTTGGAGCTATTGGGTTTCCAAGGCTGGACCCCTCCTTTCTGGAGGAGAGAGGGAGTGGATAGATAGATAGATAGACAGATAGATAGACAGGTAGGTAGACAGATAAAAGATATGTACATATATTTATAAATATAATCACTAAACATACTCACTGACATTTCTAAAGTTTGCAACATGTTGTATAGGCACTAATTCATTTGAACTTCCCAACCACCTTTTGAAGTCCCTAATCTAGGTAATACCATACCCATTTTACAGATAAGGAAAGCGAGGCTTACAGAGGTGTTAGATATGATTTGCAACCAGTCATGCAGGGAGCAAGTATCCGAGGTCTTCCTGGTTCTCCATCCATCACTTTTAACCACTGTACAGTGCTGCCTTGTTTAAGCCTTTGTCTCCACGAAACTACCAAGTCTTCACTTTGTGATCACCAGTAAATTAAGAACTCAGGACACTCACTTTTTCTGTGGTGATGTTAGTCTCAGCATCGTGGCGTTTCTGTGTGAAGATGATGTTAAAGACAGCATGGGAGCGGCTGCTGGTCTCATTCATGTTGGTGGCAGCCACCGTCCTATGTGGAAGAAAATGGGAAATGTTAGGAAATTCTAAGCCTTCTTAGCTGGGCTGGCCGTCTGCCATAGACCAGGTAGGGGAAATGTCCATGATGCTGGACAGATCCCAGGGTCCTGGATGGAGAGAGATAGAAGGGGCATTGGAGGCCATTGAGTCCAAGTCCCCTATTTTACAGAGGGAGAAACTGAGGCACAGAAAGGTGATAGAAAGGGGGTAGGGAACAAGCACCTATTAAGTGCCTGCTGTATACCAGGCACTGTGCAAGCACTTTATAAACATTATCTCATTTGATTTTCCCAACAACCCAGTGAGGCAGGTTTTATCATGATCTGATTTTACAGTTGAGGAAACTAACACTAAGAGAGAAATTTGCCCACGGTCATGCAGCTAGTGAGTGTCTGAGGCTGGATCTGAGCTCAGGTCTTCCTATACTGCTTAGCCACCTAGGTGCAGGAAGGTCATGAGCTCACAGAATGAAAGATGTGGCATTGGAAGGACCACCAAGACCAACCCTCTCATTTTACAGATGAGGAAACTGAGGCAGAAGGAGGTTAAATGACTTGTGCAAGGCTACATGGGCCACTATAGATCAATCATCTCCCTGGAGAAATGAAAAAGGAATATACACTAAATCCCATCCATCTACTACCTCACCGCCATGATGGGATAAGGACTCACATGTGCATAATGCTTTAAGACTGGCCAAGTGCTTTACAGACATTATCACCTTCTGTCCCAACAATAGGGTAGGTGCTAATATTTACAGATGAGGCAACTGAGACTCTGAGTCACGGTTGTTAGGGGTAGGATTTGAACCCATGTCTTGCCATCCCTGTGTCTGTCACTATCCACCCTGCCCCCAATTTCCTGCTCCTGCTGAGAGACCAGCCCAAGGATTGCATGGGTCAGGCTAGAGGCAGGAGAAGGGCAGAATCTATCAGGCAGCGGAAGGAGGGGTGTCTGTATCCTCTGCTCTGCAGGATGTCTCCAAGCTGCTCCCCATTGCTTCCTTTCTAGAGCTGTCACAGTAAGAGGCAAGCACGGTGGGGTCTAACAGTGCAATTCTGGAGTGCTGGCACCCCCTGGCCTGGAGAGCTGGGGCTTCATGGGCAGCCCTGGGCAGCCGGAGCATCTGCGTTTGGAGACATTTGCTCTTGGACCTCAGGCTTCTGTTCTGAAGGAACATGACGCACAGGAGACGCAATTTAGCCTCCTTTCCTATCCTTCATTTGTATTTGGAAATTAAGAGAGATTACTTCGATCTGTGATTTTATCAGTATGTAGAACTCCCAGGTGAGGGAATTTCCTCTACCAACACAGGTCTATACCTTTTCTTCCATTTACAATCTTAGGGAACTGACTGGAGTGTGGAGGGTTTAAGTGACTTGTTCCCAGTCACACAGCCAGGTGTGACTCGAACCCACATCTTCCTGATTATAAGGCTGGCTTTCTATCTACTATGCCATGAATATTCTCAGTGGATTTGGGGGATTCATGTCTCCATTAGTTGTTATATGACCTTGGACAAGTTACTTTTCATCTCTGAGACTCAGTTTCTTCCTCTGTCAAATGAAAGGGTAAGTCTAGATGAGATCCTTTTTGGCTCTATCTAGGTGTTCTTGTTCTGCTACCTCCAAGATTAGACATGATTTGGGCTCTCTATGTTCTCTGGCCCCCTGGGAAGACAGATGGATGCTTCAGGGCCATCCTGGGTGCAGGAAGAAGGGATCAGGAGCCAGATCTCCATGGTAACTGGGCCTCATCTGAGAAGCGGGGATGTGGCTGAATAGCAGAGGCTTATCAGGGAAGATGTGATTCATTTCTAAACCATCAAAGGTAAATAATCCAAGCACATCCTTCCCATCCCTTCCTGTATAGCCACCCCCAGGCCAGAGGCAGAGCTAATCAGCAGCCTTGGGCTTCCTTCTGCTAAGGCAATTCACCAAACACTCAGACAGTACCCACCTACTGGGTGCAAGAGGCTGCTAAACCTGGGGAGACAAAGTCAAAAGTGAAGACTCCTTGTCCTCAAGACCTTACATTCTACTGAGGGGGAAATGTGCTCAGGGAAAGTGAATATAAAGTATTGGGGAAGACCCAGATCTGTGAGTTCATTGGCACAGTGAGGAAATTTCCTCTATTAGAGCAGGTCTGTCCCTTCTCTGAATCATAGTCTTAATGGGTTGTTCACAGCCCGGAGGTTAAGTGACCTGCCCAAGGTCACTCCGCTGGTGTGTGTCCGAGGAAGGACTTGAACCCAGGTCTTCCTGGCTCTGAGATCACCTCGCCATCCACTACAGCAAAGTGCTGCTCCATAAATACACACCAAATACAAACTAGCTGGGGGGTGGGTGTGGGAGGGGATTAAAAAATCGAGGAAAGCCTCTCACAGAAGGATGCACTTTAGCTGAGACTTGAAGGGAGGCAGTAGGTGAGGTAGGGTATGTATCTACCTTCCAGGAAGTCCTAGGTGAGAAGGCTAAGCACCTCAGGAATGGGGGACAGCCTTTGTATAGGGGGGGTAGATGCCATTTATGAGAGGAATCAGACCGTGAAAGGCTTTCACAGCCAAGTGGGATTTTTGACTTAGAGGCGATACGGATCCAGTGAAGCTTCTTGAGTAGGGCAGAGACATGTTCAGACTGTGCTTTAGGATCTCAATTTGGCATCTGTGTGAAGGACTGATGGTAGAGGCTGCCCTGGCTGGCTTCCCCAGAGGGACAGGCTACTGCCTCTCTCTCCTGGCCTGGATGAAGTACAGACGTTTGGGCTTAACCTGATTGTCATCCGGGACAGCCTGACTCAGCGTTTGCCACAGTGACTCCAGGCAAATGTAAGTGTCTTGAGGGCAGGGGCTAGTTCATTTTTTGTATTCCCAGCACCCAGTCCAGCATTGATCACCTGACTAGGGATCAATGAATGAGTGATGACTTGAATGGCTTCTACTTGGTGATTCCTGTGTTGATGGTGGCAGCATGAGGGGGAGGCAGTGTCGAGCAGAGGGTCCCCACTGCACAAAGGAAGCACAGAATGTCACAGGGTGGGAGAGCTGGAAGAGACCTCAGTGGCCTCTTGTCCAGCCCACACAGACACAGCTGAGTGGCCCTGCAGCCTTGTGGAAGACCTCCAAGGAGGCAGAGGCCACCCTTTCCAAGCCATGGCCGCCCAATGCCAGACAACTCTCATCGCTAAGATTTCCCCGACCTTCAGCCTAAACTGGCATCTTTACGAGTGCCACTCACTCGCTCCACTGCTCCTGGGCCTGTGCTTTGGAGCCAAGCAAAACAAAGCTTCCAAATGCTATCCTTTCAAATCCTTCAAGACAGCCAAGTGGGGCTCCCGAGTCTTCTCTGGGCTAAACATTCCCAGTGCCTTTAATGAATCTTTGTGCGACATGAATGTGCTACCAGCCTCCTAGTGTCTAGCACCTGTGTTAGGAGCCTAGAACTCTTCAGCTCCAGGCTGGGCACTCAGAACAGAGTCAGAGGTTGAGCTTGTTCAGAGGTCTTCATTGTTGTCTGGGTTCCTGGCTCTGGTACTTCCAAGGCTCTCTGAGCCTCAGTCTTAGAACTTCTCACTTGCACTGCCTATCTCCAGAGCCGCTGTGGGCATGAAAGCAGCTAGGATGATCAGAACAGTGACCCTCTTTTACAGGACAATCCCTGAATGGCCAGGACTTTCAGCAATGGTATCCTTAAGCTAAATGCTCAGAGAACACTCTGTATTCTGAAGGGGCCACACTGATACATGCCTGAGGAAGATATCTTATCCACCAGAGCTGGGCATACCTGCTGGCCATCATTGGCTGAATCCTGAACTTTGGGCTCAAGTAGAGGATGAGCAAAGACTGGAAAAAATTCTCCCACCTCCCGCTGCAGCTGGCCCATGGTAGCGGAGGGCAGCCAGGCTGGGAGATGGAGAACTGAATCAAACTCCTAGGGGTTCTTTGAAAAGGAAAAGAGGCTGGCTTAGTGCCCAGAGTCTGCAGCAGCCCTGGAGAAAGGAGCATTGAGGTGAATTCCCAGTGAGGGTCACCGACCAGGCTCCTGCAGCCAGCTGGCAGGGGCTGAGTTTATTCAATGAGGCTAGGAAACTGGGGAGGGAGAGGTCCCTCCATTGAAGCCAGCAGCAGCCTTTTCATATCCCAAGGCTGTTGGCCTCAGTGGGGTAGCTCTTTCCCACAGAACCAGCACTCAAGCTCGTCAGTAGGACCCTGGGTTTAAAGATGAGAAATGGTCAGCTGGGACTGGGAAGGCCATCCCAGAGAAGGAGAAGGAGAGCTGGTCCAAATAACCAGAAGATCTGGGTTCCAGCCTTGGTGACAGCACTTCTTAGCCGTGGGAGCTTGGGCAAGATACTTAACCTCTGAGCCGCCGCTTACTCAGCTATAATTTGGGCCAATTCATACCTACCTCATCGCTGGGAGGAATGAATGTGGCAATGTTCAGGAAAGCATAATGACAATGATGATGGTGGCAGCAGCCAGGAGGAGCGGTGGATAAATAGCTGGACCTGGAGCCAGGAAGATCCACATTCGAATTTGGCCTCAGACACTTATTAGACATGTGACTCCGGGAAAATCATGCAACCCTGTTTGCCTCAGTTTCCTCAACTATAAAATAGAGATGATAATAGCATCCACCTCTCAAGGTTGTTGTGAGGGTAAATGAAGTAAGATTGGTGAAATGCTTTATAAATCTTAAAGTGCTAGCTATTATTAATATTGTTTCAAGAGTGATCTAACGTTCTCAAAGCTTTGCACAGCCACGAATCTATCTGAGCTTTGTTATAATCCTGCATTTGCAAACTGAAAATTACCAGTGGCAACTCCCAGTTCTCTTGAGGTTTAAGATTTGCAAAGTACTTTCCTCACAACAGTCGTCTAAGAAAGGTGGTGCTGGCATGGCCATCCTCATTTTACAAATGAGGAAACTGAGGAGGCCCAGAGATGGGGCAGGTCACAGAGCTCTTGCCACTGACTGCCTGAGGCTGCCTTTCCACAGCTAAATCCAGCCTATTCTCCTCTCCTATACCACTTTCTAGCTGAAGAAGGGATGGAGGTGAAGGGATTTGCATGGGAGCACACAACTGGTTACTAGCACATTTGGTCTGATCCTAACCTATGATTTTATCAGCAGCAGCAGCAGGAATTTTCAATGTTGAAACTCCTGCCAGTGACCATCAGTTACTGCTGTGACTGTTGTCTAAGATTTTGGAATACTGAGAGAGTAAGTGATTTGCCCAGGATTGTGCATTCTGGGTGTCAGAAGAGGGATTCAAAGTGGTGTCTTCATGATCCCACAGCCAGCCTTCTACATGAGTCTGCCCTTCTAGTCAGGACAAAGTCCAGGTCTCTTGGCTTACAGTCAAGTACTCTTCTCGTTGTCCCGTGCTACCCTTCAGGGAAATGTTTGCTGTGGTCACCGAGGGTCAGGGATCACAAGGGCCCCAGCTTGGCCTCTTCTACCACTGGGACGGTCTTACAGATCACAGCAGCCTGCACAGGGGTGTACTGGAGCCATCTCTAACCCCGTCCTCCTGAGGTCCAGTGTTAGAATGTCTGTGTGAGCATTTACAGCTCAAAAAACAACAAATGCTCCAACCCCAGACTTGATATATTGTTCTGTTAATTGTATAGACTCAAGAGATGGGGGAAATGTTCCTAGTGCAATTTAATTTAAAAGTGTGTCGCATACATTTTGCCCTCCCCATGGAGCTGATTGTTAAACCCTCATCTTGGATCTAGAGCCGGCTCGTGGACCACCAAGCTCAACTTCCTCATTCTACAGAAGAGAAAACAGGCACAGGGGATGTTAAGTGGTGACTTCCCTAAGGTTACACAGCTACCACATATCTGAGGCAGAATAGGAACCGGGGTCCTCCTGACTCCCAGCCCACTGCCCTCTCCCCTGAGGTGACATACAACCCCAAGTGGTAAATCAGCATCAGCGATGTTAATAACAGTACCTGGCATACATTAGGTGCTTAAGAAATGATTGTTGAATGAATGAATGAATGTCACTTTATATGATGCTGAAAGAGTGTCAAAGTGAAAGCAGTATCATGCCCACTTTACAGGTGAGGAAAATGGGGACCAGGGTCAGACAGCTGCTCTGAGAGAGGCAGGATGGCATTGTGAGTAGAGAACTGGGCTTGGATTCAGGGAAACCTGAAATCAAGTCCTACCTCAGGCCTCACTGTCTCTGTGATCTTGGACAGGTCACAACCTCTTTATAACTCAGTTTCCTCACTTGTAAAATGAGAGAGATGGACATGATGACTCCTGGTTCCTTCTAGCATTAAAGCTATATGGTATTATGCACTGCATCGAAGTCTAGGAGTGGGATTTGAGCCACAGTCCTCCTGTTCTTGGACTACTCACACCTCTCATCTATCTAGTACAATTCATAGAAGACTCATTACAGCTGTGTTCACAGCACTTTCCCAAGCATCTCAGCTGACTGTCATGATGACCATCCCTTAACCTCTGCTTCAGTTTTGTCATCTGTCAGATAAGAGGGTTTGGACATGTGAAGTAGACAGGGCAGGGATGGCAACCTCCACAAGAGAGACGAGGGAATTATGACAGAGCCAGGAGCACAACCTGGGGTGGGGTTTCTCTGAATTTCAGGACTTTTTTCTCCTCTCTTCACTAAATCAGATTCCTTAGAGATGGAGGGGAAGGCGGCCAGAAGGAAAGAGAAATGAATAATTGAGTCTAAGGAGAGCAGGCTTCCCCTCACACACACCTAGCTTTGTTTCCAGAGTCCATTAGATCTTGAATGTCATTGTAGGAGGTGACGGCCAGCTTGGAGAGGTCTTCCACATATGGGCCCATGAGGGGGTGCTCCCTCACTCGAAGGTTGCCCTTGTTTTTGGGGTTCAGGAGATCCCGGACTCGCTCACAGTAAATCTCCATGTAGCTGACCTACAGGACAGGGAGGTCAAAAAGAGGCCATTGGTGAGAGGTGGGATGTGGAGGTCCTAGGCATCATCCCAGAAGGACGCATTGAGGTCCTGTTCTATGACTGGGTCCCACACCAGGATTACTGAAGACTGGGAGAGAAGTATACTTGTTACTATCATGAAATAAGTGTGTTTGGGATTCCAGTCCACTTTGCTGAGACTATGATATCCTGAGCCCCATCTGCGTATGTGGAGTATGGGTTGGGTACTTTGGGCAGAGGGAGAAAAGGAGGTGATCTGGCTCCTACCTGCTTTTCTGGTCTCACTGTCCACTACTGCCATGCATGTGTCCTATTCACCTAGCTAGGCTACTTCCCTCACCATCTGGCAAGCATTCCTTGGGCTTCCCCACCTCCACAACTTTGTTCACTAGGTTCTTATTCCAGATCCAGCAGAACACTTCCTTCAGGAAGCCTTCCATGATCCCCCTCCCCTTCCCCAGCTGGCTGCATTCCCAATAACTGTGTCTGTACTTCCAGAGCACTTCATGCCTCTCTCTGGGCACTTCACATGTTCTGTTCCTGTCTAGTGATCTGTGCGCTTGTCTGACCTCTCTTGCTAGCTTGGAAGCTGGTCAAGAGCAGGGTGTCTTTTTCATCTTCCCGACACAGGATCTTGCCCACAGTGGAAACTCAACAAATGTTTCTTATATGAATGTGCGAGTGAATGAATAAATAATAATAAATAGGGCATGAAATCAACTGGCCTTTTCTTCAATCATATTCAGAGGTCAAACAAAAGCTATAACAAGGTGAAGCAACTGGAATTTTGCCCTAGGGCACTGACCCCCTAAGGGGTGTGCCAATATACTTTCTCCTTGTCTCCATCCCAGAGATTCAGGTTCTCTGGCCAGAATTTTGCGCCACCATAAGTACTCTGTCCTTCTTTCTACATACTCCCCACCCCCTATTGCCCAGTGTGGTTCTATCCAACTATCCTTTGTCAAAGAGCCCTTTCCTCTGCACCCTTCACTTTCTCTGTGTATGAAATAGAACCATTACTATCCCATCCCTCTCCTGGGGCTCACTTTCCCCCAGAGGGTGCCACACCTTCACCTGACTCTTCTTGCCTCTTTTCCACACCACCCCTCTCTCTACCCCAATCCCCACTCCTGGGAATTGGCCAGAATGACTAGACCCAACCGGGAGAAAAATTGTCCTTTGTCCCACCCTCATTCTTCATCATCTCTCCCCTCTTTACCCACCCCCCCCGATGGTCCTAATCTGTCACCTCTTCCTCTCTGCCCCATCCAAGGCATTGTTCTGGTCAGGGGAATGCACCCAATTGGGACAAACTGTCCTCAGCCTCTTCCCCATTGGGTTGTCAGGGCAGACTTAGAATCAGAGGGTATTTTCCTCCCCTCTGATCCTTTGCTCAGGAAGACCAACCCAACCCTCCTCCACCAAGCATTGTTTACACAATTCCTTGTTATGATTCTACTCTATGGAATTCTATGTTATTTTCAAGCCAAGCTCAGATCTTTTCAGGCCCCTGCACCCCGGCCACCCTAACGGAGAAGGGCATCTTTACCTCTACTGAGTAGGACATGTTATCATTCGTTGTGTCATTGATTCGGGAGAAGAGGTCCTCACAGAGCTGTAGAGGAGAGAGAGAGAGAGAGAGAGAGAGAGAGAGAGAGAGAGAGAGAGAGAGAGGAGAGAGAGAGAGAGAGAGAGAGATCAGTCTCATTCCTTCTGTTTCTTCAGTATTAGTACCCATAGTTCTGCGTGTTCATCTGGGGTGGGGGGTGAAGCACTCCAGTATACAACGAAGACCCCTGAGGCTTTCCAGATCTTTGATCATTGCCAAAGTCAATGGAATCCTCACTCTGCAACCCATCATTGTCTACAGATCACACACACTGACACACAGTTCCCCTTCTCCTCACGTTCCTAACCTTTTAAAGCCCAAATTCAAGAGTCCCTCACACAGAGATGATGGATACAGTAACTGCTTCTTTAACAGGCAATAGAATCCTGGGGAGTTGTAGTTTAACCATCATCTGGAAAGAGTAAATTGTGATGGTAAAACACCCCTGAGGAAAAATACACAAAAATCCCAAATGATCCTCGATGTGGGGGTTTTAAGGATGACATCTCATGTCTAGCTTATATGGAGACTGACTCAGGCTAAGTATGCATTAGTTGTCAATCATCCTCACCTTCTCCAACTGCTACTGGATAATTTCCTTATTAATTCTTCACCCAGGTTCTAAGGCAATCAAGGGGACTCTTCTGATATTTTCTCATAAATAGAAATGCACACATACACACTCTCCTTCATTAGTTAATTAGTACTGAGCTCCTATCTCAGTTTATTAATATATCAGAAACAGGTTGTTGTTTGTTTTTTGTTTACATAAACACCTGCTATTTCTCTTTTTAAATCTCAAATCCTACATTCTCAATGACTAAAACAATGAAAGTGTTCCTGCTAATACAATGTGTTAAAGTAGTAACAAATGCAGGAGGGAGGGAAAGCACTTATGATGTATCACAGAGGATAAAGTTCATAGCTAGAGTTGTTCTATGTTCTTCAAAAGCAGAGGAAAGAAATGTGGAATAGAAAACTCTCACTGATTCCTCCTCGACTCTAGAAACAGTTCTCTCAGGACAGTAATTCAAATCTTTCAGGAATTCTTTTCATAATATTTCTTCACAAAATGAGAGCTAAATAAAGTTTTCTCAAAATATCTCTTCATAGGACAAGAGAAGAAAATAACATGTTAGAGGAACTGTGAGAAAATAGGCACACTAGGGCACTGTGGGTGGGGCTGTGAATTGGTCCAGTTATTTTGGAAAATCATAAATATGCCCCCAAAATAACTGAAATGTCCATGCTTTGACCCAGCCATACCACTAACATTCTGTCTATGCTCCACAGAAATCAAAGAAAGAGGAAAAAGACATAAATGTACAAAAATATTTGTAGCAGCAATTTTTGTGGCAGTCAAAATTGGAAACTAAAGGGGTGTCCTATTGGGGAATGGCTAAACGCATTGTGGTAGAATATAAAGAAATGTTGGTGTACAATAAGAAATAGAGGATGGACAGTTTGAAAGGAAACTGGAAAGACCTTTATGAACTGATGCAGAAGTGAGCACAACTAGGATAATAATGTAAGTGACTATAACAATATTCTAGAGAAAAAATAAAAAACTTTGGAAGGCTCCAGGACTCTGATCAATGCAATAGCAGTAAACCAGGAGTCCTAAAGAGTGGAAGTCAAACACATTGTTTACCTCCTGACAAGGAGAAGAACTTTAAACCCAGAAGAGAAATACATTTGTGGACATACCCATTATGGGAATTTATATTGCTGGATGATGCAGCTGTGCATTGAGAGATTTATCTCTTTTTTTTGCTCAACTGGAGAGAAGTATTGGGAGGGACAGATTGATTAATAAACAAATAAATAAGTAAAATTTAAATTATTGCTCTCAAGATTCTCCTTGACAGTTGACTGAGTCTCTCAGGACAAAATTCTCTAAGTCCTCTCTCTGTGCCTCACAGTCCCTCAAACCAGGAGAGTTAATTTTTTTGTGACTGAGGGTTAAACTTTAATTTCCTAAGATTCTGTTCTCATTTTTAAAAATGAAATTTTGTTTTTATTTCCCCTGAATTTTCCCCTGCCTATTCCCTCTTAAGGACACAGGAACAGTAACATGTGAACAGTAACACAGTCTCTGTGTTAGGGGCTATTAAAGCTGGGATCACACCTAGTTTTAGCTTTTTTTGTCTGACTTGATTCTACATTTCCTAGAGATCATTTTCTCTAATCAAGACATGGTTAGATTGCTTTTTGAATTTAAGTTGATTTTACGACTTTGATTCTTATCACTTTTTTAAAAAAATTGTAGATTCCTTTAGTATCCCACCCTGACCTCCTTATCTTCATTCTCATCCTGGCCACACTTACCTGTGGGATAATGCCCTGCTGATCTTTCTCCTGCTTCCCCATCATGGTATAGGATTTTCCAGCACCAGTTTGCCCATAGGCAAAGATGCAGACATTGTAGCCTTCAAAGGCATGTTGCAGCATCTCTTCCCCAATGTCTCGGTAGACTTGCTTCTGTGACGCATAGTTGATGTCTTCAGGCTGGGAAAGAAAAGGAAGATGTGAACACACATAAGAGGAATGAAGGGGGAGGAAGGCAGGGGACAGAACATGGCCACGGATTTAGAGCTGAGAGATACCTTGAGGGTCATCTGGTCTGATCCTCTCATTTGATAGTTGAAGGAGCAGAGAGGATCAGAGAGATTATATAACCTGGCCAAAGTAACACAGGAAGCAGTAAGTAGTAAGCAGAGTTAGGAGGAAGGAAAATACTCTGGGAGATCTTCAGCTTTGATGCTGCAGATTGTCACTATATTGGCTACAGATCATAACCTCTTCATACTTTTCTACGGGGGATTTTCATCCATCTGTGAATTAATGAAGGATCTGTGATCTTATCATCACAGAGAGTTCATCATGGAAGGTCATCAAATCACATTAGTTAGATCATAAAGTTGTGAATCATGGGAATCCCCACAATCTGGAAAGAATGAACACTTTTCACCTTGGAGAGATACAGGGTGGGTTTAAGAGGATTGCAAGCCAATAGTGGTGTGAATGATAGCATCTGGGAAACATGGTCAGAAAGGAAGGTGGGTATGATATCCCACCTCCACTGCTTGCTGCCTCTGTGATCTTGGACAGAGCATCTCACTTCCCTGGGTCATAGCTTCCTTCTTTATAAATGTGAGGATGGTCTTTGAGGTCACTCCCAGCTCTAGATTTATGGTTCAAGTACTCAGAATGAATAATGACTGACGGACAGCCCTGAGAACAGCATTGAGACCCGTGAGATGACAAAGATTTAGGAGGTCCCCAATTCCTTTGGCCAGATCCTCTCTGGAGGACCTTGGGGAGATTATGGACAAGAAGCATGCAGGATGGGAAGGCATCTGTCCCACTGGGGGGAGAACCCATACTGATGAGATCATTTTGATAGGAGTAAGCTCCTTAAGGCTAGGGACTGTTCCATTTTTGTCTTCCCATCTCTGGTCCCTGGCATAGTGCTTGGCCCATAGAAGGTAATTAATAAATGATTGTTAATTGTTGCGGTATCTCAAGCAACCTTCTTCAGTATTATTTGCCTTTGATTTGATCTAAGGAATAAATAATTCAAATCATAGCATAAATAAAAAGAGTAAACTGCCCTAGATCATCCTGTGACCAATTCCAGACCAGCGTGATATTAAGAGGTCAGCTGGCATTAGGAGGCATAGTTGTTTGTACACAGTTGTTGGGCCATGATCTATCAACTCATGTTCTGGCTCTCCCAGGCAAAAATTTCACCAAACCACCCTCCTCCCCTGACAATTTATACCAAAAAAACCCTTTCCTGGCTCACACAGAAAATGCAGGGTTTGTCCACAAGTAGTTTTATTTATGCATTCAGTCATTCCCAAGTTTGTAGATGACCCCCTTTATGCCTTGGGGCTGCTTGGCTTCTCTGTCTTCCCTGCTATATATCTGATGCCCAAACTTTCGGGGTGTTTCTTCCAAAGAGCAGGCAATTAGGGAAGCTGCTCATTCCCCCTATCTTGACAGCTCACATTTTTTCACAGGTGTTTGTGCTTACCGTGGTATGGGACCAGTAGGAATAGTCAAAGCTGAAGCTTTTGGGTGTTTCCTTGGGCTGTTTTGGATTGACAATGGCTGGAAAGCAAAAAAAAAAAAAATAAGCATAAGGTAATGAAGCTGTTGGCTGGTGGTGGGGTGAATGCCTATGATTATGGTGCACCATCTTTAGAGCAGCCAACAAGAGCTTTGCCCTGGTCTGGAAAAATTGGTTTTTAAGACCAGGTGCTCTAACACCAAATGCTGAAATATTTCTGCTGTCACACTGTTTCAGGTGCCAATAGTATCTCTCCAGGTGGGTGTCCTGCAAACAGTTCCAACAACATATCCCAAATAAAACTTATTTTCTCTCCCCTAACCCCAAACATTCTTCTTCTGGCTTTACTATTTCTATCTCTGCTATCATCACTCACTTTGTGACTATAAAAATGGAAAGTGGGGAGGGAGCTTTCACACTTTTCTCTGGGAGGGAGTCATGAAGAAAGGAGAGAAAAGTTTGAACATCCAACAGTATGATGTTTTGATTCTTACTGGGGAAAATTTCACATATTGGAATGGCCATCATGATTCACAGATGTCTGAAGGAAAGAAATGGATGGATAGATAGATAGACAGATAGATAGACAGATAGATAGACAGACAGACAGACAGATAGATAGACAGACAGACAGACAGACAGACAGACAGATAGATAGATAGATAGATAGACAGACAGACAGACAGATAGATAGACAGATAGATAGATAGAAAGATAGATGATAGTTTAGTTAGTTGATAGGTAGATGAGAGAGAGAGAGAGAGAGAGAGAGAGAGAGAGAGAGAGAGAGAGAGTATATAAAAGAGAGAAAGATAATAGAGAGATAAATAGATACTAGCCAGGTACAGCATGTGCTTACTATGTACCCGGCACCAAAGTGAGGTGGCATCTCTGGCAGATGGGCTCACAGCCTCCCCACCAAGAAGTTGGAGATTGATAGCAATTGTGCCATGCCAGGAAGCTTGGACTAGCAGACCCATGCTGGGTCAGAGCATATCTGTGGTCTTGTAGTTACTTCTGGACACTACATTTTAGGAAGCATATTGCTAATCTGGAGAAGGTCTGGAGGAGAGCCAACAAGGCGATGAAGAGCCTTCAATTCATGCCATGTAAGAGGAGATTGAAAGATCTGGGGAGGTTTGACTTGGAAAAAGGAAAACTTAGAGGGATGTGATAGCTGTGTTCAAGTCTTTGAAAGGCTATCATGTGAAGAAGGGATTATCTTGGTTCTGAATAGGCCCAGAGGGCAGGACCCAGGACCAGTGGTGGAAGTCCTAGAGGCAGGTTTCAACTTGGTGTAAGGAAGTTTCCTGATAATGAGAAGGGAATGGGCTGGGGATGGGGAGAGGGTGGATGGCGGGTGGTAGATCTCCCTTGCCAGAGAGTTTCATTCAGAGGGGATGTTACCGAAAGGGTTCTTCTGAGGGCACAGGCTGGCCCAGATGGTCTCTGAGGTCCCTTCCCGCTCTGATGTTCTGTGATTCTTTGGCCTCAAAGGGCCCTTCTATAATCCTATGTTTCTCCTTTAGAATATAAATCAGTATGTCCAGAATGAAGAGGGATGCAAAGGATCCTCAAAATTCTTCCACTGAGTCTCTTTGCTTTCCCTGGCAGAGTCCCCTTTGATGCTCAACCTCATGCCAAGGCAATTTGTCTTCCTGTTCCACAGGTTTAGCTGAGTCTAATAATATCTGGCCTATCTGAAATCAAATGCCCATTGTGCATGACCTAGAATGAGGCTGACAAAAGGGAGCAGGCAGGATGGACTTTAGAGAGGACACTCTTTCCAGCTTTTTCTCTTGTTCTTTCCTCCATCTCCGCCCTACCTAGCAGTGCTCTGATTGCTGCCAGCTGTTCATGTAGACCCATGGTAGTGGGTCAGCTGATTCTCTGGTCTGGAGCCTCAGACCTAAAAAAACTGTCAGCAGCCACACCATGTTGGGGGGAACTCAGACACGTGGCCAGCTTTCACCCTTTCTGACAACAGTCAGAAAGTCTCTCCATAAGCCTCTTCTCCCCATGAAACATAAAACCAGTCCTTTAACTTTTCTCCATTTGAATTTCATTCTGGGATCATAGATTTAGAGCTAGAAGAGGCCTTGGAGGTCATCTGAGTTTAACCCTCTCCATGGCCAATGAGGAAACAGGCTGAGCAAGGTAAAGGTGTTCATTCATTCATTCATTCATTCATTCATTCATTCATCCATCCATCCACCCATCCATCCATCGATCCATCCATTCATTCATCATCATCCATCCATCCATCCATTCATTCATTCATTCATTCATCATCCATCTATCATCCATCCATCCATCCATCCATCCATCCATCCATCCATCCATCCATTCATTCATTCATCCATCCATCCATCCATCCATCATCCATCCATCCATTCATTCATCATTCCATCTATCCATCCATCCATCCATCCATCCATCCATCCATCCATCCATTCATGCATCCATTCATTCTAGGCTTTACTGTTTACTGAGAGGGAGTACAGCAGAGTAGATAGAACTCTGGACCTGCAGTAAGAAACACACCTTTGCCACTGACTAGCTATGGCAAACTCACTAAACCTCTATGAGTTGCTATTTCCTCACCTGGGAATTGGAAGTACTAAATACCTCAGCTTACCTTTCGAGATGGTTGGACAGATAGAGGGAGATACTACTCATAAAGCACTTTGGAAACTTCAGAGTGCCATATAAACTTCAGTGATAGCTGTTTTAACTAGTGCTACCTCCAGTAATTCATTCCCCTTCTCTTGGCCTCAGTAAAGTAAAGACAATAATCTCTGCCTACTTTGAGAAGCAGTGACTTCATGTACGTAAAAGCTGTTTGTAAATGACAAACCACCGTATGAAGACGAGGCATTATGACCGCTGTACTCCCAGTGCTTAGCACAGCGCCTAGCCCAGACGAGGCATTCAATAAATACCTGCTGATTGACTGAAAACACTCCAGATCATTAATTTATTCCTAACTGCAAGGAAGACGTGTTAAATTCCTACTCTGTCCAAAGCCTTGTACTCAATGCTTTGGTCATTTTTCTGTCTTTCTTCTGGATCCTCTCCAAGTCTCCATTTTGTTCTTCACTGCTCTAGCTCAGAGCTATAATAAAGTCAAGAGAGATGCTAAGGAAAATGGCCTGGGAGTTCTCCTAGCTTATTCAGAGTTAGCTCACAGACTTCTGTGTGTGGTCATGGAAAGAGCCCTGGACCTAAAGACTCTGCATTCTAGTCTCAGATCTTCCACTTACTAGCTATGTGTACATGGGCAACTTGTTAATATCCCTGAGCCTCAATTCCCCCACCTATAAAATGGGGATAATTATGCCTACACTATTCATCTCAAAGGAGTGCTGAAGTCTATCAAAAATTACAATAGTCTATAGAAATTTACCATAATTTGGCTACTCGATTTGCACCCCTGCCGTCCCTTACCTTCATCTGCACATCCAATTTCTTGCCAGATTTTCTTGTTTTTACCCTCACAACATTTAATACATTTCTACTCTTCTCTACTCACACAGCCCTAACCCTAGTCCACAATCTCATCAGCACTTCCCTGGACTATTGCAATACTTCCCTATTGGGCTTTCTGCATCAGGCCTCTCTCCACTCTGAATCTATCCTCCATAGAGCTGGAAAAGTGATTTGAGAGGTCTTCCTAAATTATAAATCTGACCATGTCACCTGCCTCACCCCCCTCAACTCCCATGGCTCTCTATTGCTGTCAGAATCACATATATAAAGAACCCTTTGTTTGACATTTCAAGCCCTTCACCAACTTGGGCCCTTCCTATCTTTCCCATCCTCTCACACCTTCTTGTAATAATAGGCCTATTACAAGTCATGGACTGGTTGGCTATTTCTGGGGGCATCTTGAAGTCATGCAAAGTGACTGAACATGAAGGAAATCATCAGGGTCACAATTTTCCCTTTCCCACTCAGTGCTCCTCTCCCTCCACCCTATCTGTCTGGGACCACTGACAAAAAAGCCCATTCTCTAATCCGGCTCAGACATCCATAGGGACATTAACCTAGCACATTATGTGATGGTCCCTTATTCCTTAGAGTGCAAGATGAAGTCTTAATTAAGTCACCATAAATCCTCATAGGAGAGGAGAAGATGCCCTTTCGTCTACCCGTCCTGGGCAGTAGACCACTCTAGCTGGTAACAAAGAGCTCTTTGAGAGTAAAAGGGCAGGGGGAGTGAGCTCTTTGCTCGTGATGTTGGTTCCATGGAGATGCTAAATTAGTGATGAAGCCTTCCCAGAAAGAGCTCCAGTTGCTAGGGAACTGACCTGGGAAGAAAGATCAGGTTGACTATATGTGTGTCCCTTTTCAGATAAGCTAATGAGGAGACAAGAGAGTAGACCAGGTGGGAGCAGACAGAAGATCTCCCATGAATGCAGGTTGTGAGTATGCTGTTCTAGATGCAGTAGGCAGGGGTGGGACATACAACTATATGCTTCACCTCAGATGACTCACAATGTAAGAAGAAATGACAGAAAGCTTCCTTCCTTCTGCTTTTCACCTTGACTGGTCAAAGTTTGTAAGGTTCCTTGTGTTAATGACTGTGATGATCAAAAATGTACTCTTCTGCACGACATTCAATGCCCTTCCCAATCTGCCCCCAACCTACCTTTCCAGCAAAGTTATACCTTTCTTCCCCTTCACATACTCTAAGGTGTAGCCAGACTGGATTGCTGTGCCTTGCTGCTCCTCAAACCCTATGTTCCATTTATAGTCCCATTCACTTTGTACTGGCTGTCCCCTGGGCAGGAGTTTTATTCCCTCCTCACACCCACATTAGAATCCCTGGTTTCCTTCATATTCCATCTCAAGTGCCACTGCTTACATAAAGCCCATCCTGATCTTCCCAGGTGCTCAGACCTTCATCCACGCTTTGCCAAAAAAAGTCTTAAATTGATTGTGTATATATTATGAATATACTTGTGTGTCTGTGTGTTATCTCCCTCAATAGAACATAAGCTACTTGAAGGCAAGGACTGTTTCATTTTTGTCTTTGCAC